ATTTCGTATTTGTGTTTTATACCCGAATGAGGAAATTTTTCAGAAAGTATTTTGTTAAGGACAATATGTTTATGAATTTATAGCCTATAAGCCGTATAGAGAATTCCTCTTTCTATAAATAAAACCTGTATGAAAATCCGTACAATAATTTCTGAGATTAGACGGCGGGGTACTTTAAATTTATATCATGTAGTGTAACTATAGTGTAACAGAATATTGTTATAGTTTTCAACTTACAATGTCATAACTAATTATTATGTTATTGATTATCTTATCTAGATGCCCTCGTCTAGTTCGATTGCTTAGAACTACGCATAATTACCAAATTAACCTTTATATTTCCATTACTCTTACTTACATCAAAAGTATAACACAATGTCGTTGTAAAATGTAAAGCCTTTTAATACGAAAGGTCTTTCAAACTCTACCTAGAAGAAAATTTAGGAGAACTTTTTATATGAATATAAATATTCCATTGAATATTAGATGTGCTTGCTGTTGGTTTTGGAATGCATCGTATTATATAATTATACTAGGATTTCCCGCGGCTCCGCCCGCGTTCTGATGACCAAAAACCAAATTCTTAGGTTTGACATATTAGTATACTCTTACAATGCAGTTTTGTATTTTTTCTCAGAAATGTGATATTTTCCCGCGGTAAAAAGTATCCTATATGTTGACCCGGGTAACCAGCTATCATCATACCAAATTTCATCAAAATCTGTCCAGTGGTTTTCTCGTGATGCGGTAACAGACAGACAGACAAAAAATCTAACAACTATAGATTCGGACTCTGTATCGATAATAATGTTTATTTCAAAAGGATTTTCCTAAACATATTTGATGTACAGATTCGACTTAGTTACAATTTTATTATATGTATAGATGTAGTGCTGGGCACGGGCCTACCTTCAATACGAAGGGAAGGTCATAATCCGTCACGCTAGCCAAGTGCGGATTGGCGGACTTCACATCTTTTGAATCTTTTTTTTTAAGAATTTAAATCAAAATCAAATCTTTTTTTTAAGAATTCAAATTTTTATGTAAAAACAGTGATAGACACACAATTAACACTAGGAATAGAATAAGCTTGTTACGCCTAGATTTCGACTCAAAAAAAGGTGAATAAAGCCTTCATTGGTTTGAGTATACGCATATATAATAAGATTCCACAAAATGTCCCAGGCTTACCTTTTCAAAAATTTAAAGATAAAATTAAAAATATTTGATTGAGCAAAAACACTATTCAAGAGTTTCTTGTTGATGAAAATATTGACTCATATACGGGCGGGCTATCAATAATGTTATGTTAATAAAATAAATGTAACTTTGATATTTAAAAGAGCAACTGTTGAGTTTCTCGCCGGTTCTTCTCAGCAGAACTGCTTTCCGAGCCGGTGGTAGCTTCCTCACGGACTGACTACACTGACGCTTTCATTAAATTGACGATTCAAAAGCACTTGTAATAAGTCTTAATTGAATAAAATTTATTTCATTTCATTTGACAACGTGCTAGGTTTTCTCAAACATGCAGATTTCCTTATGATGATTTCCTTCACCGTAAGACAAGTGGTACCTAATCATGGTAAAATGATTTGGTTTTTCCGTGATGCGGTCACAGACAGACAGACAAAAATTCAAAAAACTATAGATTCGGTCTCTGTATTGATAATATAAATAATAATGTCTATTTCAATGAGATTTTCTAACAAATATTTAATTTACAGATTCCGCTTAGTTACGCCTTATGATCCTGAGAGACTGACTTATTGACTGTCAATTTTCGGACACTCAGTTTTTTTTATTTCAAATCAAAAAATCGGTAAAGCCTAGGTATTAAATACCTATATAATATTAACTTATAGGTATGTATATATTATAAGAGAAATTAAACTGGGTCACACATACGGAGGGTCTACTACATCATTACAAGTATTCGCAGATACGGATTGAACGTCAACTCACTTCGTGATAGAACACCTCGACCTCAATATCACAATACATACATTTCCTTTTTCACCTATCTAAAGGTAAACACGATTATTTCTACATATTCATATACTTCAGACGTAAATTGTGAAGTAGATTACAATTACATCTGTACATATAATAAAATTGTAACTAAGCCGAATCTGTGCATTAAATATTTTTTGGAAAATCTTATTCAAAGAAACATTATTATCGATACAGAGTCCGAATGTATAGTTTTTATAATTTTTGTCTGTCTGTCTGTTACCGCATCACGAGAAAACCATAGGACAGATTTTGATGATATTTGGTATGATGATAGCTGGTTATCCGGGTCAACATATAGGATACTTTTTATCGCGGGAAAATATCTCATTTCTGAGAAAAATACAAAAACTGCAATGTAAGAGTACACTAATATGTAAAACCTAAGAATTTGGTTTTCGGTCTTCTGAATGCGGGCGGAGCCGTGAGCAATGCTAGTTTGTCTAGGTATATGAGTCGTGCTTTAAATATAACTTAATAGTAATATTCATTGTAATTTTACTGAATATATGTTTTGTTTGTGTTGTCATAAAACCTAAACATGGAGAATAAACACAGCATTTATTGTTTCACTTGATGTGGAAAGAATTTTCAAGGTAAGATTACCATTGTACTCTGTACATGGATTGATTTACAGCTGCCTTTAAAATATTGCTATTATATTTGTTCTAAATACCTAAAAACTGATAGATTGCTCTATAATCTATATAATAGAGTGTGTATTATATAAAAACTAATAGCATTATAAAACTAATTATAAAACCTTATTATAAAGAGTACAGTTAATTTTAGGATGAGCGCTGTTAAGTAAAATATTTCTTTGCAATGAAAACGGTAAACGTTCTTTACTTAGACAAGCAATTAAAGAAGCATTTTTCATAAAAATGTAAAATATATTTATTTTCATATCATCATTATTAAGAATTTTGTGCAATTTACATATCATTACGAGTATGTACTAAAAAGAAAATAGTTAACAAATGACCTGTCGGACTCCGTAGTCCGTAGTTACCATTTGTATGTGGATGGCGCTCAACTTAATGTCGCGACGCATTAGTAAATTATTATAATAATAACACAGTACAATTGTGTGGTGAAATTAAAAGTGAAACTAAAAATACTGTTGTCACAAAATAAGTGGGTAATTAATCACCTTAAATAACAACTATTGCACATTTTTTGACAAAAGAGACTTCTAGCCACTACAAACTTCCACCTATTTAACGAAAATATAAATACGTATGCAAATCTAAATAAAAATAATCTTCATTTGATACCCGAAACCTTGCACTCTGATTGCAATAATTGGCAACGACCCTAATCATATATTACTCAACATATACAATTTTTTTACAGATAACAAGCAAACAAGATAAATTGCTAACGCATTTCACAATAACAAAAGCACTATCAGTAAGGTTTTTATCACATTTGACAGGTTTAATCCTATCAACACTTAAATGACATCGACATTTGTAAGCCACCTTATCATATGATTTTTTGAATTTATTGATATTATAATAGTGACTCACCCACGTACCGCTCGAGTTTGTTCCTAGTTACGTTTCAACGTTTAGTATAGATTTCTCAGAGATGAGATATTTTCCCGCAGTAAAAAATATCCTATATATTGACTCAGATAACCAGCTATCATCATACGAAATTTCATAAAAATCTGTTTAGTGGTTTTCTCGTGATGTGTTCCCAGACAAAAAAATCTAAAAAATAAATAAATAATAGTAATTTTATTATCGTAGAGTATAGATACATAGGAATTTCGTTTGATCATCTCGCTACTGTCACTTGTGTACTCGTTAGTCGGTATATTCATAAAAAATGAACGAAGACATAATCTTTTACTCTAAGCGAGAGTTATCTGACAAACTCTTGTAGGTATAAGTAGTATGTCTTGACTATTGCACCTAGACGAGCTTTATTTCTCTGATAACTGTGAAATCGAAAAGGGTTAAACTTTTGTATTAAAACTGCGATCCAGAGTACATTACGTGATTTATTATAAAAAATATTTTTTATAACATTCTTCGCAAATACTTGATGTTTGTCAGATTACAGATAACCTTGCCTGTATTTGCTCTAGATCTCATTCAGAGTGACTGATGATACAGCTTCAAGTACCTTCGTTATCAAAAGAAATATGAGCGTTCTCTTAAAAATACAATTCTAAACTTACAACCACAAAAGGCATCAGGTGGCGCGTAAACAAAGTATCGGTAACAAAGGCTGTATAACCAATACAAAATATAAATCCACAGAGATCACTTACGTAAAACGATCGGATCAGTGTCGGTTCTAGAATAAAACTCTATCAATAAAGCTTTTAAAAAAAATCATAATTATGTCGTAATTTTTATCTAGTTCGAAAATTCGTCAGAAGATATGAGCATTGAATATGAACAACTATTTCTAATTTAGGACATTGCAATGACAGTAACTCATAATTTAGCGCAATTTACAGACACCCGTCTACAAGTATTAACTTTTTAATAACTGAAAGATTTATCACAAAAGTAATGCCAGTGCTTGTCTTGATTTATCATTAAGTTTAAATATATTCTTTTACTTACAAGTACCTAGACATAGTAAAACACGTAGGTTTAAATTAATTATTATTGTTTGTACTTCAAATCGAATTAAACATAATTACCAGGCCATTTCACACTCCGTAATGCTCTTCATTTGGATTCTCATCAGCAATACACAATTGCCTAACCACTTGTTTAATTCATGGAATGCAAAAACGTGTAAGAACCCTTAATTCGTATTGAACTAATCTAACGTAACCACTGATTAGTAATCACGAGCAACTGTCGCTTAATAGAAAATCGTGGGTTGCCACTTTAATAAGGCATTCATTAGCATTTAAACACTATTTTGTAGAATTTATTGGTTTAAACGAACAGAATTTACGTTTGGTTGGGTAATTAATAATAAATCAACAAACTATGTTAAATAAAATGTATAATTAAATGTACCTATGTGTTTTGCAGACGGGCGGTGCGGACAGCGCGAGCGGTGGCTCCGGTGGCTCGGGCATGGAGTGCTTGCAACTGCGCTCGCCTCCTGGACCCTTCCATTACCTCATCTCGGAGCAGGCTAAGTCTCTCGTCGCATTACAGGTAATCATCGTTTTAGTACTTAGATATAAAGTTATACCTAACTTTTGTTAGTTCTATTCTGTTTTTACCCGACTTCCATTTCCGTTTTTTTAAAAATTAACAACTTTTTTTTTAAATATAAGTTGTTCAATCGAATATGTTATTAAAAAACTTTCTTCGTACAAATTACCTACTTATTACGTCTACACTAAAAATGGAAAAATAAAAACTTAAAAAAACTGACTTCCAGGCAATAAAATGTAAAAAATAACTAAACGGGGGTTTTCATTTAGAATAGATACCTAATCAGATATTTTCGAAGTCGGTGCCAGCCGATGCAAAGCAAATCTAATATATTTCGATACGTAAAATAAATATTTATCTATTAGATATTCATATCTTAAAATATTGTCGGCTAGCATGGAAGTCGATTTTTTTTTTAGTATAATATAATTTGTATAAGTTTTTATATTAATTGAGATAAAAGGAGTTTTGGTAGTTTTTTCCCCTCCTACTTATTTATGCAATTGTCTTCAGGAACTCCAGAATGAGGTCGGGGCATTGCTCGAGTTCCGCGATCTCGTTATCGAGACATTCCCAAATTTACGTTCCAAAATGGCGCCGTCAACGCCGGCGAGTGAGACGCGCCGTGACTGGGAGCCTGGCGTTCGCGTGCGAAGAAAACTTGCGGGGGGCAACGGGGACACCGCCAGGACTAAACCACAGCCCTCTGTACAAGATTCCGGGTTTAGCACTGAGACATCTTGTGGCAAAGATGCTCATTCCTCAGCCTCAGCAACCGCCTCCGCGTCTCGCCCTCGCCCACTCGAAGACGAATTGTGGGCGCTACTCGATGTCATACAGCGGAAGGGCGTCCGATTGCGAGACGAGGCAGAGTTATTACGCGGGGAATTGGACGAGAGGCATTCGGAGACCGCCGAAGAGTCTTTCGCTCGAGCGCTGTCGACTGGCTGTGGGGATTGCACAGACTTGGTGCGGTTACGGAGTGAAAGAGATGCTCTACTCGCACATGCTGCTCAACTTGAAGCCGCAGCAGCAGTCAGTCCTCCCCCAGCGCCCTCCACTCCATTGGGAAGATTGGACAATGCCCTGGAAACACCGTCGCGGCCACCACAAGTCGCAACGCCTGATTCAAAGAAGTTCGCTGCGATTCTACACGAGAGCAATCCCGTCGAACTTCAAAGACAACTACTCTTTTCCACCGTTCAGAATCAGGTGAGTCCTAATTTTGTAACAAGTTATACTTTATATTACAATGTAGTAGGAAATTACTTTTGACATAATATCGTGTTTTCCTTCAAATGACATTGACTAAATTGTTACTTGACTAAGACGCAAAAAACAATACTTCGCACTGAACAGTTTACTGCCTTACACAACCGAAACAATTTATTGTTCGGTTGCGTAATAGCTTGGTTAATTTTTAGATGTTTTGCAAGTCATTTGATATAACTTAAAAAGTATTTTAGTATGCGGCTATTAATGATGCGTCAACCCAGTAACTATCGAGTAAAGGTGGAAACGAATTGCACAATTCGATTAGTTATCGACTTTCTTTAATTTTTAGCCCGAGGTACATCCGCGACAAGTAAACATACATACCTATAATTTCAACAGAATACCTATAATTTCACGCGGAAGATGACAATGTTTATCCGGCATTTTACTGATGATTTATCTTATCTTACAAAATATATTATTTACTTTCCTTTTACATCGAGTTATTCAAATTACGCTTGTGTAAATTATTCAAAGTTTAGTAAAAATCTCTAGGCCATTGTGTACCCTTATTACCAGTTAATTACGGAACAAATGAGGTAACACAATAGGTACATGCAATTTGTCGACAAATCTGTTTGTTGCACTAACGAGTGCTCGTCGAGGAGTGACGTAACGTTGATTTCGGCAGAAATACGTGCGGCGATAAAACTAATGGAGTGTGGCCGAAACACTCGACTGTCACCGTTGGAAATGACGGTCTGTGGCTTTAAATAACCTAAGCCTCTACAACACGAACTATTCGTAACAAATCTACGTTTTATTGTTTACATTTATTTAGAGGCCTGTATGAAGTCTATATAGTAATATTGATTGATTGTTATATATACAAATTTTTATTCAGTCCGCAAATATCGAAATGTAGTTAGTAGGTAAACATTAAAAACATTTTTTGTAGAAATAATATTAGGGCCTACTTTATAACATAGCTTTTATATATATAACATATATATATATATATATATATATATATATATAATTATATACTTTAAAATTCTTTTCTTATTTTTTTAGTTTTTACCCATTTTAGGAAATATAGAACACGTCTCATTATATTATGGTGGTCCCTAAGACCAGTTATTTGTGATTTTAGTCCGAATTTGTCAATTTGCGTATAATTCTATAATTCTATGGTTGTATTATCCATATATGTAATACAACCACTGACGTCATAATACTAAGAGAGGAGTTGTGCAGTCAAACACGATGCTGCTGTAGCGCGCCAGTCGATTATAATAACACATTTAAATATTCAATACACTGAATGTCGCATTCAATTTATAGAAAACAAATATATGATCTATTGGGGCTTCGGAGAATAGACTTTGCTCTCTTAATACGTTCTAATTCCTGGCGGACTTCAAACAATAATGATAGAGGCATACAATGAAATATATTAAACTAGTTTGTTCTGCTTTATGTTTTCGGTGCAAGAAAAAACCCATAAAAATATTCCTTAGTGCCCCTTTGTCGGTCAGCTGTATGAGTTTTGAAATGAATTTCATAACTCTCAGGCTTCCTCTCCGTCCGTTGATGCCCTTTGAATAGCTAATACGTTTTGCATAATTCATGGATCTTCATTATTAAGAGGTCATTTAGATTGTAATATGCGCGTGTTGAAATTAATAGATAACTATTTACTCAGCAGAGATTTACTTGAAATATTAAAGTTTTGCTGGTAGATACTTACTTATATATTAAACTTAGCAATTTATTTATGACACATGTTCGTTAAGAATGTGAAAGTGGTTTATTTGTTTATTTGTCCTGCTTTCTTGTTTGACTGCTTCAACTGATCGTCGTGAAATTTCGCTTACGCACTAGGAAAGGTTACACCTATCAAAATAGACTTAGTAAATGTATATATATTTAATAGTTATATAAAATTATATGTAATATTCAGTTGACAAATATATCATAATACCTTATGAAATATTACGTATAAGTTTTGATAATGTATTTCATATAAAAATGTTTATATGCGCAAGCGTTCAAATGTAACGTAGAATAACGTTGAAAATATATATTATTCAGAATTAGTCACTATTATAAAACTATTATATAACAAGCTCCTAGCATACCTAGAAGACTTGGGGTGAAGCAAAGAAAGGCCTTGGTGAATCGCGTTGACTTAACTCTGAAGGAGGTGTCCGATTGGGGTAACGCCAATTTAGTTAAGTTTAACGCCACCAAAACACAAGCGTGTTTATGCATTGGACTCGATAGATCGCCGAGCTCGCCGTATCATAGGTGATCAAACACTAACGCAGACGAAAATGCTTAGAGTAGTCAAGCGCAAGCCTATCTTACAATAAAAAAAAAAAAAAAGGCGAAGTGGTAAATCCCGTCCACTCCTAATGGTTAAAGTCCGAAGTTTTCTGTGATATTCGTTAATTTCAACCTTTACTCAGACATAAACTAACTGATTCGTTAATATTATCTGCTAAGCGTAAATGTTAATAGCCCGAAATATCAAGTCCTTTTTATAAATATTACATTTACCAACTCATGGCGGTAAATTTGAATATTCACAAATATAACCACAGATGACATTACTATACTAGAGTCCCCATAAAAAAGAGATTGCGCTGATTCAAATATTCATCGGGCTATTTTTGTTTACTTGAATAGATAATTAATAGACGTCTTTTAAATTCTTGTAAATTTATTTTTATTTTATAAATATGTTGAATGTATAATCAAAATATGTTAAACATTGCCATGCATTTACTTACATAAATAAAATTGAGTGTGTTTATCAGTTAATAACAGTGGCGAACAATTCATAAAGAGTAAAAGCGCCATCTATAAATATGCAGTATGTACAAACCTTGATTGCTGTTTTTATCAGTAAAACCACGTAAAATAGATTTACGATCGCTTTATATCTGTTTTGTATCTTTTTTTTTATCTTTTGACTTTTCCTTATTTTACCCATACTTCAATAAGAAATCGATACATACTCGTATAATGCCATCTATTGACATTCATTTTAATTATTATTTTTTGTTCCTGATGCTAGAACTATAGTCCATGGTAAAAGCTAAGATTTACCGATATACCTGGCTTTAACAGTAACATATATATGTATGTAAAAAGAGTCATTGTATGTTCCAGGCGATAAGTTTGCAGCTGAGACGTGCTGCGACCCAACGCACCATGCTCCTCGAGAAATTAGAGCGGGCGAGAGACCAGAATGAGGACCTCAAGTTCAGAGTGAGTGTTGAATGTACATTTGTTTATTTTACAATTTGTATTCAGCCCTTTTTTAACGTCCCACTGCTGGGCACGGGCCTCCTTTCAATATGAGGGGAATCAGGCCATAGTCCACCACGTTGCCCAGGTGCGGGTTGGCGGACTTCACATTTCTTTCGAAAACTCGCTAGGTTCTCTCAGACATGCAGGTTTCCTCACGATGTTTTCCTTCACCGTAAGACAAGTGGTAATCATGTTGGAAATGATTCGCACATGAAAATATCAGAGGTGCGAGACCCGGGATTTGAACCCGCTTCACTCGGTTTCCTATGTGAGAGCGTCACCACTGGGCTTCCACTGCCTTTTTTTTACAATTTACCGACTTAACATTAGGTCAGGCTGATAATCAATAATCAGACAGAAAATCAATTGAGATGTTTGATTTTTGATATTTTTATAATTTTTGTTTTTGTTATGAATAAGAAGCACAATAAAGATTTCATACTTAAGTTGTTTTTAAGTGTGTATATATTTTAAGATGAAATTCATAATGTAAGTGTGTTTGTGTCGTGTAAACAAGCAAGTAATATAATACTAAAGACAAAGTAATAATATGTAAGTTATTCATATTTATTTTGTCTCTAGAAAAACAATATTTTTCATATATTCAGATAAATAAAATTGAAATGTCTGTTTGTTATGTCAAAATAACAGTTTGTTACACTATATACGGTACTTGTAAATAATTTTTAATATTTTATTTGTCTGTCTATTTGTTTTGCCTAATTTCCGAAACGGCTGGACTGATTTTAACGGGACTTTCACTGGAAGATAGCTGATTTTGTAAGGAGTAACTTAGGCTATTTTATTTTAGAAAAAGAATTAGGGTCCCAGAAAAAAATTAAAACGTACCTAGGAGAAACTGAGCGAAGCGCGGGTAATTCACTAGTTATTTATATAAATTGTTGCTATTCAAGTCTATTTATTATTTTAAATGTTAAGTTTCAATTTGTATTAAAAATACATATAAAGTTGTCTTACTTTACGTTGACATAATAACATTATGAACATAGAACATCCATCTTCCATGTTTGTAGTTTTCAATCGATTTGTTAACGCAAATTACTCTTTGACTTACGCAGTACTCATATAAGTACATATATATATATATATATATATATATATATATAATTATTATTATATATATATATAGGCTTAAAGCTAGTACTACAGTAGACATTTGCAATTTGTATGACGGATTAAACCCTGACCTCCGTAATCTGTTAAGGCCACGACGTTTATTTATTTTACCACTTAAATACATCGTCGTTTATCATTTATGTCAGCAATCATTTAGATTTTAATAAGTTGAAACTACAATCTTCGTTTCGTTAGTTAAGTTTAGATGTAAAAAGAAAATCTATACATATAATAGAATTCTGAGTCGAATCTGTACATTAAATATTTTTTGGAAGCTCTTATTCCGGCCTATTATTAGGCCGAATCTATAGTTATTAGGATTTTTATCTGTCTGTCTGTCTGTTAGCGCATCACGAGAAAACCACTGGACAGATTTTGATGAATTTTGGTATGATGATAGCTGGTTTTCCGGGTCAACATATAGGATATTTTTTGCTGTGGGAAAAATGTAATGCTATATTATAACTTCATTCGAGTGCTTTTTTTGAGTTTAATTTTTTAAAGTATTGTATTCATTTATAAAAAAATATTTTTTTCAATTATAAAAATAGTTTTATTTTATGTATATATATAATAATATACTATTTTTCTTTGTGAACCTTTTTTTTTTAATTTCCACCATTACCAAAAGGATAGGTAGGTACTAAATAATCATTTAGATGATAAAAATCTAAATTGGCTTGGCGGCCGATCTCATTGAGATTAGCCAACTGCGCAGGAGATATTATAGTGCTCAAGTGTATGCGCAGACACAAGTGCACTCTCTATTCCTATCACTCTCGTACTCCGGTGGGACGACCACTCGACACGACCGGTTAGAGTTAAGGCGCAGGACCGACGGCTTTACGTGCTCTCCGAGGCACGGGGGTGAAGCACCGCCAACTTCCCAACTCCGGGCTGTTATTGAGACTTACTATACAGAAAGACTCAATAACTAAACTAGGACCTCCGAGTGTGCAGCCGTACATGCTAGCCACTACACCACCGAGGCAGTTAATATATATATATATATATATTGATAATGAGTTTATTATAACTACCTACTCAAAAACTGAATTTATACACTTAAATCGTTATATACACACACACAATGGCCGCAGCCATTAACTATAGTAAATAGTAATTAATAGCATATAATACATTTATTATCATCGTTTTTTAAGTCTAACAATGTAAATTAAATGGCGTCGATTACATTATTGCTTATTTTTATAGGTAATCATGTCCATCACGAGGTGCACATTAATTTTATACCAAGGTTGAGCGTTCATACACGTGCTGGTACCAAAACCATTATCTATTAACTAGTATTAACCGCGGCTCCGCCCGCGTTCAGATGACCAAAAACCAAATTCTTAGGTTTTACATATCAGTATACTCTTACAATGCAGTTTTTACATTTTTTCTCAGAAATGAGATATCTCCCCGCGGTAAAAAGTATCCTATATGTTGACTCGGATAACCAGCTATCACCGTACCAAATTTTATGAAAATCTCTCTAGGGATTTTTCCGTGTTGCGGTAACAGACAGACAGACAAACAAAAAATCCAAAAACTATATATTTGGCCTCTATATCGATAATAATGTCCATTTCAATAAGATTTTCCAATAATATTTAATGAACAGATTCGACTTAGTTGCAATTTTATTAGATTAGTATAAAGTTCTCCGAACCAATTTCGGTTATGGCGGCCAAATCTCGATGAGGTTAGCCAACTGTGCGGGACATATAGTGTAGTGCGTGTATGCACAGATACTGATAATGTGCACTCTAATTAATAAAGTCTAATTGAATAAAGTTTATTTCATTTCCACTCTCTATTCCTTTAACTCTCATATTCTGTTGGGACGACATAATCAAACACGCCCAGTGAGAGTTAAACCAATTCTCCAACAGAATCTCACGATCTGAAGCTGTAGATGTTGCCATTAGACTAATAATTTGGTTTAAGCTAATAATTGTACCCAATATGTACATGTAATAGTATATAGTGTAATAATGCCTCCTTGGTTTTAGGGCTAGCATGTATGGCTAAAAATCTTGAGGTTCTCGGCATTTACTAGGTTTCTTAGTCAAGTACTAAGAGTAGCAGCTCATAGCTGGGTAGTTGACGGTGTATATCTTCATAATCCAAAGCCTTTACGTCCCATAGACTACTTTTAACTGAAATGAAACGAACATAACAATAAAACAATCTCTACGTTGATACTGCAAAAGTATAAACTGCGTTGCAGATATCAACGCCCGCCTCCGTACAATATTTAAACTATTTTATAAAAACTGAATAACAAGAAGATGATGATGATGTACCTTTGTATGTATGTGTTTGTGCGTGTACAGTTACTAGTAATTTATATGATTAATAACAATACATTCGTATAATTTACAGCTCGAAGAGAAAAGCATAGAGCTAGAAGGGGCTAGAGCGCGAGTGCGGCAACTCGAAGGCAAGAGACGGAGCGGGAGCACCGACCGCCACAGCATGCGCGACCTGCAGCCGCTGAACATGCCGGACGAGCCCCGCATCGCGGACACCCCCCGCTCGCGACCCTCGCGCATCCCCCGCCACAAGGCGGCCGCCCCCCGACCCCCCAGCACCCCCAACATCTCCACAATCTCCAATACCCCCAACATCCCCCGGCCCCCATCCTCCCACTCTGTCCGCTCCGCCACCTCCACACGCAGCAGGCCCTCTCGAGAGGTGTCAGTCTCATCCAGGAAGGACTCGCGCAAGGAGCAAGTCAAATCGGCAGTGCCAGTACGCTCACCCTCACACGATAAGGTGCGAGCACGATCCTCCTGGTTCAACAACTGGTTCACTGGACTCGTAGACCCTAAAGGACCCAAGTGCTAATATAACCCACCGTGTGACAGTGCACAAGTGACTCACTAGCTAACTCCTGTGAATTCGGTTTATGTTTGTGCGGAGCGGCGTTTACATGCCATTATGTCGTAAGTTTACGTTCCATTTTTCATTTTGTTCCGTTTTTGATCAGGGTTGTCACGAATGTTACACCGACACTAGCATTCTATGTGGGATATAAAGCTATTTGTATCGTATCGTTGTTACATCCTAATAACATGTAAATTAGAAAATTTCAATACATTTCATTGTCATTCATTAATTGTTTGCCCAACGTCAGACATCACACGACACGAATTCGTCACAACCCTATTGTTAAGTATAATTTGTTTACGTTTCAGTTGATTTCGCGTAGATTTATTTCAAACGGACCGAACTGTAGCGTAGAGCTTGTCACTAACGACCCCCTATTAACACCCACAAATTAACATTCAGTCAACTTACTATAATCTATAATGTAATATGTAATATTTCCAAAATATTACTCAATTTATATCTCGCCTCCATGGTAAGTAATTAAATGCATAAATTATTTAAAGTTTTTTTTTTTAATTTTAGAATTTTTGATTTTGATCATTTTAGAGTGATATATTTTTTGTTACTATTGCGTTTAAAGTTTTTCATATAAAAGTTGGAGTAAAAGGGGGATTGTTATATATAATGTTTCTTTTCAGCTCCATCCCCTGTGCGACAACCTACGTGGTATGGGACTGATCTATAATTTCTTTTATTTCCCGTAGTTTAGTTGTTTGACCACCGTATGTTGATTTCACCCACTATGTTTTGAGTCTAACATTGTTTGTAACTTGTTCCCTCGCACTAATGTTAACTGAACAATTGGCTTGAAATATTATTGTTATGCATGTCAAAATTTGGGGTTAAAGTATATTTTTGTGATAGTTATTCAAAATTTTATAAAATATAATATGCAGTGTATTTGAAAAATAAGCTTCAATATATTTATACGATGTATTGCTACTTGGGTATTTGGTAAGATATGATGTTTATTTACTATGAAGTAAGATCTAAAGCAGTACTTAGGTAATTCTTATATGCATAATATATACGAAGAAATCACAGCCATGTTTAGACAACCTAAAATCACTCGCCTAAACAATCGACATAAATATATAGGTACACGTTCATATTTAACAAACACTTTGCAGCTTTGCAGTGAAAGTTGCTGAGATACTTTTCTATTTTTCTCATAGAAAAGTTATTCTCGAGTAGTATTTAGTTTTTGTATGTAGTTAGTTATTTTATTATTTGTTTTTTTTTTTTTGTATTTTGTTTTAATTATTTTAACCAGTTATGGACATAGTGGCATAACGGCAATAAATGGTTACTCACAGAGAACGCTCCACTTGTCAATGCACTGTTCAAATTCATTGCGAAGGACTCACGTTGGTTTGTTTGAAGTAAGATCGCACTCGATTGACGCTATCAACGTATGCTTTATAATGACGATACACCGTGTATTTGAAATTTAAAAAGGTTTATCTATATATATTCTAATATTAAATATTTAAATTACCTGTGTTTAGGAGTTAAGTTTGTATGTGCAATGTAATATGGATAAGGGTGTTTTGAATTGGAGTATATGCAGTTTTGCTATTGGTTTTATGGATGATGTACCTAGTACCTATATAGGTATATAAGATTGATGATTGATTGTAAAGCAACCGAACTAATATTTATTTATTTGTAATGTGTCTTGTGTGCGTTTGAATAATTTATTGCAAATGGTGTCACCATCGAAGACAATATCACCAATAACTGTTCTGCAATACAATATTAATGACACCAATAAATATATAAACAACTAGCATTGCCCGCGGCTCCGCCCGCGTTCAGACGACCAAAAACCAAATTCTTACGTTTTACATATTAGTATACTCTTACAGTGCAGTTTTTGTATTTTTTCTCAGAAATGAGATATTTTCCCGCGATAAAAAGTATCCTGTATGTTGACCCGGATAACCAGCTATCACCATACCAAATTTCATCAAAATCTGTCCAGTGGTTTTCTCGTGATGCGGTAACAGACAGACAGACAAAAATTCTAAAAACTATAGATTCGGACTCTGTGTCGATAATAATGTCTATTTCAATTAGATTTTCCAAAAAATATTTAATGTACAGATTCGACTTAGTTACGATTTTATTATATGTATAGACTAGCAGAACCCGCGGCTTCGCTCGCGCTAAAACTACAAAAAAACTGAGAATGTAGGTTTCATACAAACCTTCATCCTCTATTTTACCCCCTTATGGGACGAAATTCGAAAAATGCTAGAACACGTATTTAAATTTATTTAATTGTATTGAAGAGCATTAATACCAAGTTTCAAGTAATTCTGATCATAAATAATGTTTGGGTTGTATTATAACGTGTTTTCCCGTGGGAATTGGATAATCTCCCGCGATAAAAAGTAGCCTATGTCACTCTCCAGCCCCCCAACTATATCCACACAAAAAATCACGCCAATCCGTCACTCCGTTTCGACATGAAAGAATGACAAACAAACACACTTTCACATTTATAATATTAGTATGGATTCATTTTAATATTTTCTTAATGGTGACACTATTTATAATAATGATGATAATAAAAAATAAAATATGAAATGATATTCAAAAGTCATGATAATACACAATGAAAGCATTTATTATTATTTTCAGAAGTACCAAGCGCATGAAGCGAAGTCCGAGGAGATGGAACATTCTCGATGCGCGTCGCTCGTGGCCGAGTACCTGGAGCGCACGGCGCGCCTCGCGCCGCTGTTCCCGCGCCTGCGCCCGCTGCCCGACAACATACACTGCCGCCTCGCATACGAAACACCACAGAACCTTGCTCTAGAACTTTCCAAATCCATCCTCTACGAGAATGCCGATTCCATAGATATCAAAACATTAAACTCCCATGAAGATTCGCTATGGAACGGCAAGCCTCAACAGTACTTTGAGAGTATGAACGCTCAAGATAGTGTGGCGGATGTTAAAGATTTTGAGGATGATTCTTTGGCTTGAATTAGAACCTGGTTCTAGAACTTTCCAGATCTATTCTGTATGAAAATTCTATCTTATCATCTCTACTCTCTATCACTCGACTCCCATGAAAATTCGTTTTTAAATGGTAAACCTCAACAGTACCGAGTTGAACATTCGACATTGTGCTGTGGGTGTAAAAGATTTAGAGGAGTATTCTGTAGCTTGAATTAGAAACTTGTAGTGATATATAATATTTGGAATAATTAGCAAGGATTGTTCGAAGTATGCGAGTTTCATGTCCATTACAATAACTGTATGTAGAGCTTAGGGCTTAGTGGTCGCGTATTGTAAAACCCTACATTTCAACCGAGTCAGTTTTAAAATGTCTCTCATTAAAATTGGCTTGGATTTTGTTTTGTAATAAGTGAAGTAGTAACATCTTAAACAACTTGTGCATTGTCACTATTTATATTGCGTTTGAAATATATAAATAATTTTAAATATGACGAGAATACGATTCCTAGTGCAAGTTTTTACCAAAAGGCCTTTTGAATTTGTCTCCTTGTTATAGTATCTGTGATAATTTTCACACTGAATTGTTTACATTAATTACATTATAAATAAATATTTGATCCATTTATTAAATTAGCGCTAATATTTTAGAATAATATTATATAAGTCCTATTATACAGTTTATGGTTATTATTATTTTTTTTTAATTTAAGAATCAAATTTAAAACGAATTATTAAAAAATAATCTCTTCATTACTATTACTATAATTTAAATAATGTATTTTAATTATATTCTATGTAATATTATGTGGCGGTACTTTTTGTTTGTATTTATTGTTTCCATCAAGCTAATGTTTAGATATTTTAGTGTTGAATGAATTATGTCAAGATGGTAGCTATTTTTTAATTGTCATTCCTAAGCCGTTATCGGCTCGAAATTGTGAAGTATGAACTGAGATATTGTACGACTGTAGCAAGGCTGTGAAATGAGTCGCGTGGGATTGTTTCAATCACACAATCGTGTGGGGCTACCAACATTTACAAAATTAAATCAAAAATGCTTTTAATTAATAAATTAAATGTTATTCTAATGTAATATTACATAGTAAGTAGATAAAATATTAACAGGTGGCCCCATCGATTGTTTATTCTTCTCTAAATGGTTCCTGGTTATTGATTTCTTAAGTGGAAAGCTTGTGAACATTTTACCGTAAGTTTCGTCACTGGATTCTGTTAAATTGTGCATGTTTTTTTTTTAATATTTTGTATGAATTATTGCCATGTTTCGTGCGAACTTTTGATTGTTGTTTTTTTTAATGAATTTGAATATCATTTTGTATATTCCAATTCATTATTTTTAATTGTATTTTTTGCTCACTTTTAATCGTCAGGAGTTCCCATTGGCCTTTTGCTCTTCGCTATTACTGGAGAGACGACCCTTTAAGAACATGCAATATAAATCATCATCGCAATATAATAAAAATAAATAAAAATGGCGTATCTGCTCCAGTTATAGTTGAGATTTCAGAACTCGCCAATCGTCCATTACGTCCCGATCCGAACATTGTAAGGCGGAATACAAAAAGTAGGAGACTGATTTTTTGTAAAGACATAGAATAATACCTATAGAACGTTACTTTAACTGTTTATGCCTATACTTTAAATAGAACGCTGTCGCTTGAGATTTATTAAGCCTAGTGTTAATAATTATTTCGTATGACTGTATGGTATTAAAATAAGTCTAAATAATAATATAATTAAGTGACCTGTCTATGTACAGCTTCCTTTCACGCCAATAGTAAATGTAAATTATAAAGCCACTACTACTATAAGATACTCATAAAATATTCTAGTTCACTGTGAATCTAGTTTATGACTTGTGTAAAGATGTACAGAAATCATATCATTATACTCAAATAAATTGTTCATATCAAATTTTTGTTTTTAATTTTATATATTAACTCACAGAAGAATTATATATATAAAGATATGTAAGATATGATTTAGTGAATGGTCTGTTTTAAAAATCTTGGGAGTATATAAAACTTTTTTTATTGGCTGAAGAAATATTTTACTTACTACTAATGAGCATCTCATAACAATCTCTATATAATGCACCTAGAACAAATGAAACTTTCCTTAAAGTAATATAATCATTCTAGGTTGCTTCCAACTTTTACAAACTTGCATCAACATTTTTACCTCCTTAAGGGATGATTTCTACAATAAAAACTATCCTATGTCCTTCCCAGGGTCTCAAACTATCTTCTTACCAAACATCTAAATCTGTTCAGTAGTTTCGGAGCCTATTCGGTAAAAACAAAAAATAAATCCTCTTCATAATATTATTATAGATATATGTACTATAATAATAAGGTAATGGCAAACTTTTTGATATTTTTGGTGGAATAAATAAACTTATTCATTAAAAAATATATAAAAATAATAAAAATACCACCTGCGTAAAAAGTGAACTTGCATACGGTCTCTTTATGAAGAAAGAAAAATTGGTTAAAAAAATGTGAATAGATGACGATACATGTATCGATTTCTTATTAGCAAAAGATAAAAAATTAGGTATCAAAAAGGTATGTTATTAAAAAAGACGTGTGTCTGTACATAAGTACGGACGTAAGTTATACTTCTTTGGCGTAACAGAACAAAAATATCTAAAGATTTCATCCCGTATCTCACAACTCTCTGTTTGTAAAAAGAATGCAGCCAACTTCATGATGTCGCTTTGTGGCTGTCGGTGTGTGTGCGCATCTAAAAACTTTATTTTTTTCCAAACGTCCAAAACGAAGTATAACAACCATTAAATTAATTCATAAGTAACTTTTACGTCAGTCAAAAACAAAAAAGCTGTATGTAATTAAACTTTAATAAACTTAAACAGAAAAAAGCTTTAAGAAAGAAAACAAATATAAATCTATGTTGGTAATTAATACCTTAAATCTAAGTGCATTTAAAGTAACAAAAAAATAATATAATTATTTACGTTTGCGTAATATCTTCTCTCCGAGCTCAATATTTATTATTTCTTGTGTAACACTATCTTTATGTACGATGATGAAGCCATGTTGCTTGAGTTCTGTAAAAAAATAATAAACTTAGATAATATTGGGTTCTTTACGTAACAAATTAAATAACAAATTATAATTAAATACAAAGGCAGTGGTAGCACAATGGTGACGCGCTCGCTTGGGAAACCAAGGGAAGCGGGTTCAAATATCGGGTCTCGCACCCCTGATATTTTCATGAGCGATTTTTTCCCATATAATCACCACTTCTCTTACGGTGTAGGGAAATATCGTGACGAAACCTGCGTGTCTGAGAGAACCTACTACTGAAGAAGACCCGCGCCCAGCAGTGGGACGTTAAAAAGGTCTGAATGCATATAGTATATAGCTACCAATCAAAATTTAGCATACCTATAGAATACAATATGCCTATTAGAGCTTACGCCATCGAAAACATCACACACTAAAATAATGAACTCAAAGTTATATGCAAATTATAAACAAATATCAGTTTTAAGTCATTCTTTTATAAAATAATAATGACATGAATCATTGTCTTTTTCCGTCCCATTGAAGGGAGGTCCGTGCTCAGCAGTTCGTAAAAATGGCTGAATATATGCAAACTAACTCAGTATAGAAGTAAAACAGCGCGCGGCTATCAGACGCTTGTGCCCCGCCAGGACAGGCCCCCTGCACATGAGGGAGTCCACGGTGACGCTCACGCCGCTGTTCACGTACTTGTATATCTTGTACATCGTCCCTGCCGTGCCCCATTCCTCTCTGCAAATATGTTCGGACATTAGCACCATCTAGTTCCATGGTAAGCTACAAGGCTTGTGTTATGGATACCGGATAGTTGATACACTAAATACTCGTATATATAATTTTAAATACATAAATATTATAAATATAAACACCCATGACTGGAGTACAAACGTTTGTGTTCATAACACAAATAATTGCCCCCAGCGGGACTCGGACCTAAACCTTTTAAATTAAAACGTACCTAGGGACGAACCCGAGCGAAGTGAGGGTGAGTCGCTAGTAAATTAATATATTTTGTCCTTTTTTTAACGTTCCACTGCTGAGCACGAGCTTCAATATGAGGGATAAGGCAGTGGTAGCCCAGTGGTAACGCACTCGCTTGGGAAACCGAGTGAAGCGGATTTAAATCCCAGGTCTCGCGTTTGATATTTTCATGTGCGAATCATTTCCAACATGATTACCACTTATCTTACAGAGAAAGAAAACATCGTAAAGAAACACAATGTCTGAGAAAAGCTAGCAAATTTTCAAAATACATGTACAGTCTGTTAACTAACTTGGTCAGACTATGGTCTGATACTCTCAAATACATATCATTGCAAAATCTCAAACTCATTAAAACAGTAATTAACCAACAAACCGAATGAATTTTTTAGAATCAGTAGTCCTCTCAGAATCACCGAGAGACACTTTGGTTCTATCCAAGCTTCCTAGCTGTGTTTCAGAGTCACTCCCTTGTTTGTTCTGAACATCGTCCCGGTCTGCGAGTCCGGCGGATTGTATCATGGCGGTCAAACGGTCCACGTCTGGGTGCTCGGCTGGTACATTTTCTTTATTTGCCTCTGTAATGAAATGTTTTAGTTATGAAATTGTTAATTTATCTATATCTATACTAGTATTATAAAGGGAGAAAAAAATGTTTTTTGTTTGTATGTTTGTAATGGGTAAAATAAAAAACCGCTGAACCGGTATAGATGAAATTTGGTATGACGATAGTGTGAGACCCTGAGAAGGACATAGGATAGTTTTTATCCCGGAAATTAGTATGGGAAATCAATCATTTCTCAAGTACGGGATATAAAACTTATCATACCTACATCTGTGGGCTCGACGGGAACATTTTCTTTATTTGCCTCTGTAATACAATGTTTTAGTTATTAATGAAAACTAGTATAGGATTATGATAAATAAGCTAAAATAAGTAAAAGTATAAATAAAAGGACCGAGCGTGAAAACGATGACAGCTGTAGTGGTTTATTTTGAATAAACAAAATAGTATGCAAATTATACAAGGAGGTTAGCCTATAGATAATACATCCTACAATATAAAGGACTGCGTTCATATTTCAACAGTTATGTAATAGTTAATATATCTGTATGTTTGTTTGTAATAGATAAACTATCCGCTGAACAAATTTAGATGTAATTTGGTATGACGATAGTGTGACCCTGAGAAGGACGTAGGAGTTTTTATCCGGAAATCAGTATGTGAAATCAATCATTTCTCAAGTAAGGGATATAAAACTCATCATACCTATGTATATTTAGATAATATATCATATACGAGTATGTATACTAATATATAATCTGTCTATTATGGAATAGACTAACCGTTAAAACGTACCTAGGGACGAAACCCGAGTGAAGAGTCGCTAGTTAATTTTATATTTTAACTTTGTAGTGTGATCGATATTGTGGATTGGGAAATTGGATGTAAAAACATTTAATTTTTAATATCGTATGCTTAAAATTAACCTCCACAACTAAATAGGCTAATATTAAAAAACATTAGTAACTTTTTCTCAACTTTCTCAACTTTTTCATACAATTTCAATTTTCAATTAATAGTTACTGAGATAACAGCTTGGATATATATTTTTTTAAATAATTAATAATATTAGCATAAATTATCTAGATTTTGTTAAATGAAAAGAAAAATTAGCAACAAAAATAAAACATACCGATATTAGATATATCTGCTTGAGTCTGGTGCAGGCGATACGACATGAAGCCGCTTTTTCGTTGTCTTTTTGGCTGTAACATATATTCTATCTATAATATCTAATTTTTAACTTTCATTAATATAACTCAAATAACAAAATTTTCTGGAGCATACTTATATGAATTTAAATTATATTAAATGTCTTTAAAAATATACTTTACATTTACAAACCGATATCTCTATTTCGCTAGTACGTTTTCTTGCTTGCGACTCGGTTAATATTTTTTGTGTAGGCATTTCCGATATATCCAATGGCATTATATCGGATATTTGTGGTTGTTTGGAGAGATCTGGCGCGTTATCAATTGGTCTCTCAACTGGTTCCACTTCTTCATCTATTTTTTCAAGCATAGATCGGCTTTGGAATGTTCTCGTTTTTGCTGGTAATGGTTCCTGTAATATTGTGTGTGATTTGTTTAATGTGAAAAATTTTAATTTTATCATATATAATTTTATTAGGACCTGGGCGACCGAGCTTCGCTCGGAGTTTTTGGTCAAAAGTACAATTTTCTTTAAAAAAAAACAAAATTAAAAACTTGTATTTTACTTTATTATATGTTATTTACTACTTAACTTTGACCGGGACTCGAACCCGGACACTTGTAATGGTCAATCTTGAGTCTTGGCTGTTTACCCACGATGCTTATGCCCGAGCGTGCGAAATTAGCGAATATATTTTGTGTGGAATAATACAAGAATTGCTCGTTTAAAGATATAAGATATCACATCTTGTTTTAAAAATGTATGTAAAATGCGAACAGCACCAGACATTATACAATACTAACTTATTATCTGATGATTAATCCCACCACAGTCAGTTAACAATAGATTTCTTAGAAATTTAATTGATTTCTTAGAAATTTACCTGGAGGTGTTAAATCAGTAAAATTTTATAAATTTAATTTTACACTTGTACATACGTATGTGTATTTTACATGGCTATCTTACTATTTGGATACTTTCTATTGATATATTTTCTTCTCGAAACAAATTGTTGGAATCCATTATACTTAATATTCACCTCTATGTCCCTACGCGCGAGCACCGCGCGCGCGAACATGTCCGCCAGCGGGCGCGCCGCGCCGCGCGCCGCCTCGCGCAGTAGTGCGCCGGCCGCAAGCACGAGCGGCGCCAAGTCCGCGGCGCTGTCCTGGGAACGCAGGCCACAGTACGGTTACTGGCTAGACACGGCAATTCAAGCTGTTTTCCAATTGCAGAGCATAATGCCGCACTTTGGCCACAGATTAAATAATCACGGAAAAGATAAGACGTTCGTGCGCGCTAAAATGTACCATACGCGGACGCCCGAGAGTATCTACTACGTCGTCTGCCATGGTGACTGGTGTCTGGCGATCACGTGTCATTGAACGCAACACTAGGGCTGTCTATGCTAAGTAATTTTTACACAAAACAATGGGTAAGTACTCCATAAGAAAACATGTATGTACAAAAATATGTAAATTTCACTTCCTTTAGCATGTTATACAGGTACTTAGTCTTACACGCTATGTTAGCACGTGCTTAACAGCCGAGCACGAAGCCCAGAAACGCACCCAGAGGCGCTCCACTTCGGTGGATGGCGTACCATGCAGATAACACATGAGTAAAGGAACAGAAACCAAGCTTTTATGGAGCAGACAAAATGTTTACTTATTCCGGTAGGGTTGGCACAGAAGCATAAAATTAAATAAACAAAATGTTTATCAGCTTTTTATTAAACAACTATGATAGAATTTCTTTTTACAAATTACTTACTCTAAATATTATAATTTTTTTCTGTAATATGTTTTTCAATAATTTGTTTGTTTAATTGAACGGTAAATTCTAAATACAACTATTTTTTTTAAATAATCTAATGGAAAGCACTCGCATGGCATATCAAATTTATATTCTTGCACACGCATTAAAACACTTTCAAACCGTAAAACGATAACAAACACGACGCGCAGCGTCCAGCAGCTACGACTCAGCCCTAAGCTTGAGCACAGGCCGAGTCAGTATAAATCGGTTTTTTACCGTACGCGACGAAGCCGCCACGCTCTTTTAGCTTGTAGTAGTATACTGTATACCTATCATATACCCGCGGTTGTATGAAACTTTGTATCTGTTAATTTTCTTTACTCATGTGCTGATACTTCTCAGACAGCAGAGTGGACCGTTAGAGCAACCCCATAGTTGGTGTGGTCTGCTGCGGCAGACCTGCATAAGCTATTGTGCGACGCCCTAATAGCACTACAATGTTCGTTTCAACATGTTGGAGAAAGAACAAGGGGTCAAGGAGTAACAAACATACACTGTCTTGATTATTATTATTATAATAACAATACGTAGTTAGGCTATGACCTGAAGAATTAGTAAAGAAATACGCTAAACTAAGCATAGGTGAACCTGGGTGTTTACTATATATGCAAATGACCCCTAAAAACATTAAAAAATGGAAGAGGGAATTTCGCTTTTTGTTTTAACTTAATTTGTTACTATCCATCTATCCATTCCCTCACCAATAAAAAAAAATATAAGTATAGCCTGCAGTAGCCATGCCCAATATTATACATACAAACATTTGCCGACGACTGTACTTTGTACAGTAAGGATTTACAAAACTTTGCTTCCCTATACAAACTTTCATCCCCATTTTCACCCCTTTAAGCTATGATTTCCGGAATAAAAAGTATCCTATGTCCTTCCCAAGGTCTAAAACTATCATCTTACAAATTTTCATCTAAATCGGTTCAGTAAATCCAGAGATTACCCCCTACAACTTAACAAACTTTACCTCTTTATAATATTAGTATAGAAGTATAGATAAGTAAGTACATTACCTCACAACGCAATTCAACTTTGTTATTTTCAATCCTTGAACGAATAAAACTGGATGAGAGACGTGTTTTTTTATCAATTATCAATTTTTGCTTCAATTTCCTTTTCTTTGTTTGTGGTTCTAAATCCTGCAAATTTGCGAAAAATAAGTATACAATCTTTTGTAAGTATTGATAATGGTAAATTTCATATATTCACAAAAACTTTGAAGATCAAATCACTAATAATAAACTGTCCAATTGCGAGTATTATTTCAAATCCTTTTTTTTAGATTTTATTATATTCTACCCTCATTCACTCGAATTCTAAATTGTTAACGTAAAATCAAATTCACTATCGGTTTAATACGACTTTACGAACCTATATGAAAATTTAAATATTTTTTTAATTTTCTTCTTTGAATGCTATATGAACTATTTTTTGTACTTACCTTATATTACTTAATATGATATATATAACGATATTTTACTTTTGCATAATAATTTACATTTCAATAAACATATTGTTAATTACTATCATATATTAGTATTAGAAATGTCACTTGTCAGTGTGTTTGTAATTTTTTTTCAATAATACCTGCAACATGAGTTCTTCCAATTCATTTCCCTTCAATGGCTCTCGCTCAGTGACATCAACAGGTAATTCTTTTTCCACACTTAAAAATATAAAATAAACATTTTAAAAGAATCCATAATAAAATAAATTAACATCGAATACTTACACAATTAAAAAAAACAATAACAGATTTTTAATTATTGCTAATAATACTTTCTTAGATTTACGCGAATATTTGAGATTTTAAATAAAACTATCTTTTCGGTTTTTTTTCGCGTATTTATTTTGATTTTTGGTTCTCGACGTTTCGAATACTTTACAGCAATAAGGTCTTAGATGCCTCAAAGGTTACTTATATACTTCCTTTATTGTTAACTAGCGGCTCACCCTCGCTTCGCTCGGGTTCGCCTCTAGACAATCAAAAACAAATCTATCCCACGGCAACCGTATATTTTTCCGAAATAAAAAGTAGCCTATTTGTTATTCTGATGTATGAACTATATTATTGTAAAGTTTCATTAACACCCAATCAGTAGTTTTTTGTACTAAGGTGTATAAGTTACTAGTTTTTTAACTATCCCACGGGAACTCTTTAATTTTCCGGAATGGAAAGTATCTAAAATGTTGACCATATATAAGGTAATAACTAGCAAAATTTCATTTAAATCAGTCCAACAGTTTCGGAGATATTAACCCGTACAAACAGACAAAGAAACAAAAAAAATGAAAAAAATCTGGATTTGTTCTATTTCTCTTCTTACATACCCCTGACTCGGTTTTTTTTTTTTTTTTCGACTTTTGTTTTTTTAATACAGGTTCTTATCTAGTACAGACACCAGTCTCTCATAAAGGATCTATAGCTGTTGCTTTTGTGATGAGAAAATAAATATATTATTATTATTTTATTATACATAACTAACTTGTGTGATTCAGGAGCAATAGGAGGCGGGATTTCAGGAATGTCAAGGATATCTGTGGTAAGATTGTAAAGGAGTTAAAAAGGTTAATAGAAAGAGAAGTTATTTAATAAATATGATAATATTACCTTTTTCTAAATCACCTGCCACTATTTCTGCACCCATAGCTATAAATTATTTATTATCAATAATTATTAATTCAGTATTCTTATGTTAAATTAAATAAAAAATTAAATTCAACAAAGAAGGAAAAATATTATTTTTGGAAAAAATATTGCCATATTTTTGTTTTTAAATAAACAGAAAATCAAGTAAAATACATACATTTTCTAAACACTGACATATCATGTTCAGATATCCTCTCCATTTGTGCTTCATGAGGGATAAGTCGAGATCTATCTTGGGATTTATATGATATATCCACAGGTAGATCTAAGCCGCTGTGTTGTACTGAAGTTTCTTGTACAAGCATCATTTCTACAGTTCGGTCTAGGAATTGCATCGCTTGATCTGGATTGAGTTCTCCAAATCCATCCTTATTGAAAATAATTATGTTATTAATTTAATTTTACTTATTATTTTAGTAGTAATAGTTCAAAAATTTTATAAATAAGTTAATAAAAATGAATTTCCATTTATTTTGCTTTACTTACATCTAGTAAAATTCTATTTTCAGGTAGCGTTGGTTCTTGTAATGTTATATCTTTAATATTAGCAACTATATTACCACTATTCTGAAAAGAAAATTGTATAATCATTTATTTCTAAATATTCTGAGGAAAATTACATTTTTTTATACATATATCATAAAAAATGTTTACTTGAATTTGTTCTTCTATTTTATCTTCATCTGCTACTTCTTCAAAAACCAATCGTGGTAGCTCAGGACGGATAGATACATGCTCACTAATCTCATGGCTGAATCTGTTATTATGTGAGAACATAAATAACTGTTTGTACTTAGTATTTAAAACATTTAAAAATATTTAAAAAAAAATTATGTTAATTATTGAAATTAAATGCTTTAGAATTTAATATATACATAGTTTATTTGTTGCCTATAAAAAATAGATTATTAATATTTTATTCTATTCATAATAAATTATTACTCTTACTTTTTATGAGTACTTTTCATAACACGTGCGTTAATCATGCATAATTCTCCTGCAATCAAGTTTGTTAAATAAAATAGAGACTAAAATGTTTATTTAGTTTTGTGATAAAATAAGTATCTAAATGTTTATTAAATAAAAAATTAATAAAACATACCAACAAAAACAATAACTTTTTTCTGATAGAGACGAACAAGACCTCGGAGCAGTTGAGAACTCAACCGTAAGGAAAATCTGTTTTTAGGGCGTCCGGACTCATTTCTAATAACTTCCATCAAGTCATCACTGTAAATTATTATTAATATCTATAATGGAAAATCTTATTGAAATAAACATTATTATTGATACAGATGCCGAATATATAGTTTATAGAATTTTTGTCTGTCTGTCTGTTACCGCATCACAGAAAAAGCACTGGAGGGATTTTGATAAAATTTGGTATGGCGATAGTTGGTTATCCGGGTCAACATATATGGGGAAAATGTCTCATTTCTATGTAAAAATACAAAAACTGCAATGTAAGAGTATACTAATATGTAAAACCTAAGAATTTGGTTTTTAGTAATTTGAACGCGGGCGGAGCCGCGGGCAATGCCAGTCTATAATAATAATTGTAAATACCATATTTGGCGTAGATCTTGGGACCAAAGTTGTCGATGAGTTATTGTGGCAAATCTCAATGGCCATGAGTCTGCGACCCAACACAAATAGAATCTACCTCCTCTTTTCAAAGCTTCAACAGGATAAAACATATTAATTTTGCTTTTATTTTGTATATCAATAAATAATATTAATTTTATATCATAAAACTTTTCTCTTGTCAACAGCTATTTGTAAAGGACGCCAAAATTTCTTAATTTTCCCGCCTTCATTTTGGCGGCATTTAATGATTACAGATAATTAATCAATAATTTAGCAAAACGGCCAGGTCTACACTAGATAAAAATTTAAATCTTTATTTTTAATAGTATTAAAAAATAATTCTATCCATTAAGTATTAATCTCTCAGGAGACTAGTTCCATCCCGAAAATCTCAAAACTTTTAATTCTCAATTTTTATATTGATATTGACAACATTACTGAGCTGATAATATGTTATACTTACATTTCTAACTTATTTTTAAAAGGTTGATAACTTTTTTGTAGAAGGTAAACAATACATAGTTTTTATAAGATGATAGAGGCTGTGTGAGAAATAACAATTTGTGGCTTTTTGAAATATACTTTCCGATGTAAATACTCTACTACTAATATTTATGTTTTATCGTTTTACAGCAAAATACTAAAGCGTTATGAAAGAAAAGCTACTTCGAATTCCAGCTGTTTGATATTGACAATTTTAAAATATTTCTGTAGTTTGCATTAAACACTGGTTTTTTATATGTTAAAAAATTTAAATGTTTTAAATGTCTACTTACTAGATTTGACTTAAAAAAACCCGATTAATGCTAATGAAAAAGAAAATTATTTTCTATTATAGAGTTGATTTTGCTTGATAAATGATTTTAGTTGCTATTATTTGATATCATATAAGTATGATTTGATTATTTTATATGAATAAATAGTTAAACAAGTCGCAATTATGTTTGACTTTTATTTAAAACATGTCATGTCATGTCTCTTTGAGTAAAGGAGACATGATCATTTACCCATTTTCTTTGAAATCTTTTATCTAATACATGAATTAAAAAAAAAGGCAAAGCATATTAGAAGACCAACACAATCAGTAAATATGTAACTTTAAATCATTTATTCATTCCAGTAAAAATTATAACATTTATATAGACTCTAACAAAAAAGTGGATCAACTGTTCCCAGTCTCCCCTATATCTAGCCATAGGCAAAAACCAGTTTGTAAAAAGAGGATAATGGAAAAATAAAAAAGTCTTTTCATTAACTAATAATTTATTAAAACTAAATTTATTTCTACAATCGACATACAGTGCAGTTTGAAAAATTTTACCTTTTCATTTTTATTTATGACATTAATTTTAAAGCTTATTATACAATAATTGTATGCTGATAACGTTATTACCTTGGTATGTATCAAATAATTAATTAACGAATAAAAAGAAGCAATAGCCGTGGGGTTTTTATACAAAATCAATGAGAGAATTTTAACTTTTTAATTTTATGACAAACAGAAGTCTTTTTTTTTAATTATATGAAAAAAAGTAAACAGACATAGAACACATTATAATAATATTATATTGTAACCTCACAAATGAGCTTAACATACAATAAACAATAATCAATCTCCAAATGCAGTTAAGAAAGCTATATTGAAAAATCAAACTGTTTGCCTGCTTGTTCTAAGTTTTCCTTTAATCTTTTAATACTCGATATGTTAAAATGTTCTTTAGAGAGTCCGCTTTCAATAGCTTTGTTGAACGCTGCCAATGCTTTATCGGGTTTATTATTAAAAAGATACAAATTGATCAATCTGGAATATGCGTTTCCAACAGAAGCAGGTGAAATAGACGAGTTAGTTTTTAATATTTCTATCATGTTTTCTATTGTTTCGGGTTGATTTTTCATATGACATTCTTGCAATAGCCTTCTGAATACAACTATATTGGAATTTATCAAACATTTTTGCCATAGGGAGTTCGCTTCCTTATATTTTCCAACTAGTAAATATTCCATCCATAGTAAATTAGCTGGCAAAGTATAACCTCTGGAAGCAGCTAATTCTGCTATCTTGTGACCTGTAAATAAAATATTATATATTTCAAAGTCTTTTCATTCGCTTTTTATACAGAAGGTCTAAAAACAAAATTTTTATATTTATTTTAGTAATTAAAATTATAAATTTTACTAACACAATATATAAGAAATTTTTACTGTCAATGTGTCACATACAAGTAATTCCACAAGTCAAACAGTAGTTAAAATTATTATATGAATCTTTGAATCAAAAATTACATTAGATAAAACAACATGTACTAATTAATGCATTGCCAAAAATATTTATGAAAAAAAATATACATACATTTAGCACTCAGTTCACCATTTTGTACGGCTGCTGCCAATGCACTACTTCTAGGGAAACTCCTTAACGCTACTTCAATTTCTTCATTATTGTCAGAACTTTCAATGACCCTTAAAATATTATCCATATGTTCCATACCTGCACCCCGAACAAATATAGCTAAAGTCAATTTGTCATCATAGGTAATATTACGCTTCATGTTTTCATTTATTAGCTTTCCTAAAGGCTGAATCTTCTCGACATTACCATCTTCCGCTAAATTTTTTAATAAGAACTTCATAACACTAGGTCTTGGCGTTATACCTTCTTCTATATTCTTCATAGTGTAGTCCATTGCTTGAGTAGTTTTTCCTTCTTGAGTCAATTTCTCGATATGATCGGAAATCTCCTTTTTAGTGGGTTTCTGTGGTTCTTTATATTTCTTTTGAACTTTCTGAGTGGGTTTTTGTGTGTTTATTTCAGTGACTTCAGTTTCAGGCATAATAAAGGGTATGTCTCTATTTCTAGTTTTAAGATGGTTTCCGAGGTAACTTAAAAATTTATCGCTTGGAACTTCGCCTTCTTCTTGAAGAAGTGTCCATAGTCCCAACGCTTTGTCCGTTTCGTCAGCTTTGCAGTAAGTAACGAGCAGGTGATAGAAGATGTTTGATCGATCAATATGAGACAACTCTTTTGTTGCTTCTAAAAGTCCTTCTAGGTATTCAGACTTTCCTTCCTGCAAAAATAAGAGATCGTTAAGTAAAGCCATTGCATTAATTTTATCATATTACATTTGATAAAAAAAATATATAACTACATGTATGGTAATTTACACGCCAATACTTGACATTTTAAAAACCCAAAAAAAAATGTCTTTTTTTTGGGTTTTTAAAATGTCAAGTGGCTGTAAAACATTGGAAAAGTCGGGAACCAAAAATCAAAATACAAATAAAACCGCGAAAAAAAAGGTGTTAAATTTGAAATGAAATCCATACTAATATTATAAATGTGAAAGTGTGTTTGTTTGTTTTGTTTGTCCTTTCACGTCGAAACGGAGTGACAGATTGGCGTGATTTTTTGTGTAGAGATAGTTGGAGCGCTGGAGAGTGACATATTCGGCTACTTTTTACCGCGGGAGTTTATCTAATGGTTTAAAATAATTTTGATTAGGATTACTTGAATCTTGGTATTAATGCTCTTCAATTAAATGAAATAAATACGTGTTTCAAGCATTTTTCCAAATTTATCCTATAAGGGGGTTAACTGCCTAGATGGTGTAGTGGCTAGCAAGTACGGCTGCACACTCGGGAGGGTTCGAGTGCCGGGTCGGGCCAAGTTTAGTTATTGAGTCTTTCTGTATAGTAAGTCTCAGTAACAGCCCGGAGTTGGAAAGTTGGCGGTGTTTCACCCCCGTGCCGAGGCAGAGCACGTAAAGCCGTCGGTCCTGCGCCGACACTCTCATTGGTCGTGTCTGGTGTCGTCCCACCGGAGTATAAGAGTGACAGGAATAGAGAGTTCACGTTGTGTCTGCGCGTACACTTATGCATTATAATATTTCCTGCGCAGTTGGCTAGTCTCAATGAAATTGGCCGCCGTAGCCGGAATCGGCTAGGAGAACATTATCGTCATAAGGGGGTAAAATAGAGGATGAAAGTTTGTATGAAACTACCTTTTTATATATTCTTTGTAGTTTTAGCGCGAGCGAAGCCGCGGGTTCTGCTAGTATGTATATAAGTCAATAATATTAATGAAACCACCTCAACATATCGTTGGCAGGCGTCTTGCAGTCGCTTCTGCCGAGTATGAAGTCCGGGAGTCTCTAGAATACGACGCGCTTGACGCAGCTTGCCGCACTCGACGAAGGCTAACACTAGATCGTGAAGAATATTCACTTCTCCATGGATCTGTAAAATATTATGAAATCACAATTAACTTTATTTATTATACTTATACAAGACTAGCGACTTACCCTCGCTTCTCTCGGATTCGTCCCTAGGTACGTTTTAATTTTTTTGAGCAGAATCCTAATTCTTTTTCTAAAATAAAAGTAGCGTATGATACTCCCTATAACATCAGTGAAAATCCCGTCAAAATCAGTCCAGCCGTTTCGGAGTTTAGCCAGAACAAACAGACAGACAGACAAAAATTTAATAATCATGTTTTTCTTATAAATACCGTATATAATTCCATATGCATTTAGTCAAAAGCTGTTATTTTGTTATTACAAACAGACACTTCAATTTTATTTATCTGATATAGATAATAAATATGCATACAGTACTGCATGTAAAAGCTAGTAAAATAATTATATACCTGAGTACTTAGATCGGCCAGCCATTGTAATTTAGATGCATCCTCCTTCAAAATTAGCACTTTCATCAATTCACCTTTCCAAGGTGTACTTCTGTATTGCTTGCAGCAATTTTCAAATTCACATAAAGCACCATCTGTGTCTTCATTGAGCAAATGTACCTTAATGGACGGGCCGAGTAGCACATTGTTTGGCTCAATATAATTGTTCTCAATTAACAATTTAGTTACTTCCTTAACCTGTAATTATGTAGCAAGATTATATATAAATTTGTTTGCACCAGCTGTTAAAAATATTAAAAAGATATTTGAAGCGTAAATATTTATTATGAATCTTAAGTTATTATAGAATTTGAGAACTTTTATTAAAAGTTTATGCTTTGGAATGCTTTAATTGGTTAAACTGGTGACATTTCCTCAAGATATTTTAACATTTTTCTTTGTTTCCTATGTATGAACCCATAGGTCTTTATGTTCTTAGAAAAATGTGGTGGTTACCTCAGTATTTAAAAAGAAACTTTTTTTAATATAATGCCGGAAAAAATAAATAAAAAAAAAACAAAATATCGACCGAATATAACGCCTGCCGATATCATTCTTAATTTAATAAAAACAATCATTTTTTTTAACTTAAAAAATAGACATTCTTAATGAAACTGTAGGTGATATTGGACTAATTCCAATCGGAATCCGGTTTGGGAACAAAATATTGAAAAAAGAAGTTTTATGATTTTAAAATGTTAACAGGTACACGTCCAGCTACCTGAAAAATAGTTTTTTTCCTAATTTAGTCAGTTTTGTTAAAAAATCATAAAATATGTAAAAAATGAAAAAACTAGATCTTTTTAGAAATATGATTTAACTTTAAAAAATAACCCTTGAATCTCCTGTGCATCCATTAAATGCTAAGATATTGATGATAAAAAAGAGAAGGATCCTTTTTTTATTGAAAGTCTAATATCATATAAGAAAAAATCGACATAAAGTTTAGTAAAAAAAGATTTTTTGTCCATTTTTAACATTTTTTTATGACTTATGACTAAATTTTATAAATATCATCTTAATTTTTTTAAATACGTTTTTAACTAATGAATAAACAAGATTAGACTATAAATGAATTTCATTTCTTTCTGTAAATACCTTAAAATCAAACTTTTTTCAGAAAAATCAATAAAATCAACTCCAATATTGATATGTGAATTGATTGAACTAATGAAATATAGATAAATTCGAGTAAATTATAACATAAACAGATTCTACGGCAAAAAAATACAAAATCTCTAGTGTATTTTACGTGAATTCCAACTTTTATTATTTTTTCACGACTCATCAAATTGAAAAGCTGGAATGTTCACGGCAACATTGTATAAATAATAAGCGTCAAATTAAAAACGTAAGGACACCATTTCTTTCGTTTTTATTCTGAAAAATAAATTGGTGTAATCAGTTTATAAAAATTTGGTCAATAAAGTACACTTCTTCAATGATAATTGAAAAAAATTTAGTTTACAAAGTACAAATTATAGATTTCTCCAATTTTTTAAATTATTAAGGGTGTTTTTACATGACGACCATACAATGTTTTTATATTTTCAAAAAGTAGAGTTCAAGACGAAAAGAATGAGCCCTATCTAATAATTGAACGATTTTTTTTAAATGTAAACGCCCACTTGAAGTTGGGGGTGATTTTTAGACTCACGAGACCAGAAAACATACTTTTCTCGGAAATGGCTAAACATTTCAATTTTTTTTTAATTTATTATATGTATTTCGAAGATTACATTCCCTTAGTTTCATGGAAATCAAAAGATTATTCTAGAAATTAAAAAAAAAAAACCAAGAAACATCTAAAAACCGAGTTTTTTGCAAATATCTCGAAAACTTTGAGATTATTGTAAAAATTGTATTTATAAAAGTTGTAGATTTTTACTAGACCTACAATTACAACTTTCTCGGGGGTAGCTGCCAGCTGGCCATGTGGGGCATTTTACGAATTTCTATTTCTTATATACCTGCTAATATTTTAAAATCATAAAACTTCAGGTTTTCAATGAAAAAAATTCTCTTCAAAATAAACGGATTCCGATTGGTCAAGTTAGACTGTTAGATTAAATATAAATATTGGCAAATCTTTATTTGTAAATTATTTTAAAATGAATTCAATTAAAATATTACTTACTTTTGCAACATCTTTCCTTTCAGCCAAAGTGTTAAGCATTTGCCAAGACTTTGAGTTCAATAAGAAGTTTTGGCCGTCATTTTCTGAAGGTGGCTTATTATCTTTTAGATATTGAATAGCTTCATCGTCTCTGTTCGCACGAACTAAGGCATATGTCATCACAATTTTCTTATAATTATTCAAAACAAACTGTGGATCTTTAGACATCATTTCCTGTTGTATACCCTTGGCTTTTTCAATTTCATTGCTTTCACAATATAATTCAAACACCTGTGCTAGAAGGGACAAGTTGAACTCAAAACCAGAACTCTTATACTCTTCCAACAAACTTGTTACTTTTTCAGTGTTATTTTCTTTTAAGTAGGTTAACAAAATTTGTTTTCTGAGGCGATTATTACTGCTATCTGTGTTTTTATTATTGTTCAATATTTTTTCCAATTCTGCCGCATTACGAGGTCCTTGTTTGCGACGAACGGTTTCCAACGGTGCCACTTCCAAATCTGGTGATGTCAGTTTTGATAGTAATTCTGATATTTCAGTCGTCATATTATTGCCAAGATAATTTTCTATTTCTTGAGCAGATGTTGTGCTGATACGTATGCCTTTAGACAGCACTTGCGTTAGAAGTTCTTCGGTTAAGTTATCCCTCCAAATATTTTTGATTGCGATTTTAATGAGCCTACCCGCTTCGTTAGTAGAGTCCTCTGTTTGAACATCTTCATTTGTGTCTTCTTGTAGAACCTGTGGCGAATTTGTAACGTGTAGTATTCGTACGAAGGAATTGATATCTTTTGTTCTACTTAAAGCATTGATTAAGGGCCTGGTTAACAATGGATATTGGCCTCTTGGTCGATATGTCAACGCTACTTCGGCAGCATTTTTGATATCCCCATTTTCCAATAATTCTAGCATAACGTTTCTTGCAGCGTGAATTGTTGGTACATTTGCTAATTGCAATTTTATAATAGCATTTTGTGGGCTATTTGTTTGTAATAATAATGGGATAATATAATCTCTCAATGCTTCGCCTGATGGTGAAAGTCCTTCGGACACCATGTTCTTTACAACTTGTAAAAGGCCTTCTTCGTCTTTTTCCTTGCTTTTCTGTGCTAGGATTGGCCAGTAATAATGTTGACGGACTTCTATACCGTCTTTTTTCAGTTCCTTTAACAATTTTTCGGCTAACTCGCTCCTTCCTTGAGTTAGGGATGACTCGGTAGCTATGTATATTGCGTTTTGGATGAGTCCTTCACTTTGTAAATCCCTGCAAGATTGTATGATTGCATCTGCTGATTTGTCTAATTTGATTAGATGTTTAATGTAGAAAGCTCCTTTGAACATGGTGTCTTCTATGTTTGCTGTTTTTGGCATAGTGGACATCATCTTCTTAGCCACATCTTCCTTGTCTTTATTGAGTAACTTTAGTATGAGATTACATACTTCTTGATTGTAGCCAGCGGACTTGTTAAGGTAAGGGAACACTTGTTCGACTTTATCACCATGCCCTCCAATTGCTAATTGTTCTATTATATCCATGAAATCCTAAAAAATATAATAATATTTTGCTTATATGCTAACTAAATAAAGGTAATTTTGTCTGTGTGTACAAACATACAATATTTGCATTTTTATATCCAGTCACTTTCAAATATTACTAATATGATAATTTGAGTTTTAGTTTGATGCCAATGTTTTAACAAGAATACCAGTCTTTATTCGGAGCTGTGATATTTAAAGTACCAAGAAAGTCTTTAGGCCTTAATAATACCGAAAACTACACCTTATGAAGAAGAAGACTTTACATAGAGTAGTAATTCAGGTGTATATAATATGTATAGGTGTATTCCTTGTGTAATAATTTAAAACATAAATATAGATTAAAAAAAAAACAAATATTGAATAAAAAATATTATAACAGAAACAATACTATGAGGATTCAATCTTACTTTATCTGTTAAATAATTATCCTGTTCCTTCGCTGTGTTGATGATGCTTTCAACGCCACTGATATCTCCTTTTCTTGCATAGCCACATGCTAAGAGTGCATAAGTTCGGTTTGATGGTTTTAGTCCTGCACTAGCCATTGTTTCTAATACTGCTTTAGCTCCATCAGTATCACCATGAAAAGCATGTCCCATAATTAAAGCATTTAGAACAGGTTCAGACACTGGCATACTAAGTTCCCTCATTTTTTCCAGAACTTTAGTTGCCCCTTCTACATCTCCTTCTTGACAATAGCGCCACATCAGTCTTTGATATGTAACTCTGTAAAATTTGTTTTAAAGCTTCAATTTATGGATGAAATATCAATAGGTTAGTAAAAAATTTAAATAATTTCATCTGCTGCTATTTGCAAAATATCTTATGATATATGGTACAATATGAATTATATCTCTTTTTTGTAACTTTTGCATATTCTCTAGACGTAATATATAAAATTAGAAACATGTTTGTCCATTTGAATTTATACATTCTTATATATTCTTTATAGTCAGTATTATAAAGAATTGTTAGTGTTTGTTAATTATCAATAGTAATTAATTTGAGTAGTTTATATTTGAATACAACCAGCATGTACATTATTTAGATGCACATACTTTGTCTTTGTGTTAGATTATTCATAGAGAAAACTAGAGATGTATATTTAAAATTTATCATATATTTTGATGTTATAAATAAATAAAATATAGCACTTTAAGTTTGTTTTTAAAATACCTATTGGGCTGCAATCCTTTTCTCTCCATTTCTTCAAGAAATTGTGCAGGGGAAAAGGAATGTTCATTTTCAATATAAACTCGTAACAAAGCATTGTAGTGGGATACATCCATGGGTACTCCTCTTTCAGTCAACACATTCCATATCTTCTGAACTAATAGGGTTCGCTGTTCAGGTAATTCTTCTGGTACAAGTTCTCCTAAACATTATATTGTGTAATTTAAACTATAAAAATACTCTTATAAACTACAAATTTCAAAGAAAACTGTAAATAAACTTTTTAAAAACAAATTTTTGCAATACAAAACTCACCACAACATCTTATAACTAATAGTGATTGTGAACTGGTGATATCATTTTTAGCCCGAAGCTCATCAAATACTTCATCTATGTCCTTCTTTGTAATTCTCCCAAAACGTCTCACTTCAGAATCTAATTTTTGTAGTAATGGTTCTAAACTTTCACTCTTTTTAGTAGCATAATCTCGAAGAAGGACACTAAAATAATGATAACAATAATTATGAGTTTTATAAGTATTACTTGTTAATATAACACATATTGTAGAAATCATTTACTTGAGTAAATTGTATTCAACCCTTTTTAACATCCCACTGCTGGGCACGGGCCTCCCTACAATACGAGGGGGATCAGGCCATAGTCCACCGCATTGGCCAAGTGTGGGTTGGTAAATTATAAACTTATTTATGTCGTTATTAAAAATTATAAAGATTTAATTAACAATCACATAATTTAACACAAACGTATAAGTCATATGACCATTGTGATTGCAAGTTTTATAATTTCTTATTGAAGGGATTATAAAATGACTCATGCAAAAGTGTTTTAAAATAAATATAATAGTTTAAACTTACTTATTTGCAGCACTTAAAGCTTTAGAATTACTTAGTAAAGTTGCATCGGCAGTTTTAGCCGAATTTAATATCAAAGTTCTTGCCGCACCAGTGAAGTATCGCACAAATTTGGTAGAACGTAATAAAGACGACATTTTTCAAGTTTATGAAGACTAAAGCATGAATTAATTTTCTTTGATTGGGTTATATAGAAGCTTTAATGATTATTTTACTGCATTAATAAATTATATCACTACTCTCATTCACTTCTTCCAATAAAATTACTTTTTGAGGTTATTTGTTATGTCATTTCGGAACCCATGTAGACCATAGACGAATAATAAGACTGAATGAAAAAGTTAAGACATAATTCATTAGTCTATGATTACCATAGCATACATATTTCATATTTTTATTATTCATCCATGTTCATATATTCATGCTTAGATTTTGTTCTTGTGCCAAATTCTTAAATAAAACAACGGTAAAAAATGTAATATTTTTAAGTGAAGTAAATATTTTTATGTTATTTATATAATTAAAAGAAATAATATGGATTTGAAATTGAAAAAATCAATTATCTATTAAGTGATTTTATTTAACCAATTAACATTTATTATTACATTTATTTAAAATCAGATCCACTTGTCAAAAATTGCTTAAACTAAAAACTTTGAACGTATAATCATATTTTTTTGTTTTTACGTAAACTGTGTCGTGTGCAATAACTAGTATATGTATATGATGTACGTACATTTAGTAAGTTGTGAGATGTGTCATGTGTCACAATTTAGTATTGTTGGCTTTATGCACATGTAAATAAGTGTTATTTTTCCTTAAAAGCTATACTGATTTCTGTGTAAGCTAGATAACAGAGGACGGGGAGGATTGTATGTGCCTGTGGTATTACGTAGGTTCACTGTCCAGTATCAGCAATCCGTGATTTTACTCCATTGGTTATAAAGACTAAAGTTACAAAGTAGAACTTTGAACTGCAAGAGTAGGCGAGTTATAAAAAGGAACCGGTTCAGATATTATATTATCAGAATTAGTCTCTTTTATTCACCGGTAACTATTGGAACAGGGAACTTTGAGTTACCGAGTAATTGTTTAAATCGTACGAGAACTCTAAACAATCTAAAATGGTAAGTTATACAAATTGTTAATTGAGCTGACATTGACTTGACCTTTCTTTGAAAACTGGAACTGGAATTATTTATGTATTTATTTTAATATATTATGAAGATAACCAAAACCTAATGTGGAGATTATCAATAATTAAAACTTGTTGTTTATTATCGTTTAGTTTGTAATGGTATTTCATTATGGAACTTAATATTTTCTAAGTTATAATACAAACCAATAGTAAAATATGCTGCTACATCTGCAGTTATAGTTTTAATGATTATATTAAACTAGCGACTCACCCTCGCTCTGCTCGGGTTCATCCCTAGTGAAAATGTAGACTTATATGTATTTTTAATGCCGAATCATAAAAAAATTTAAATAAAAAAAATGTCAAAAAATAAAAAAAAATTTTTTTAAGGGTGAACAACCCTTATCACTTAGAGGTATGGAAAATAGATAGTAGCCGATTCTCAGACCTACTGAATACGCATATAAAATTTGGTAAAAATCGGTAAAGCCGTTTCGGAGGAGTACGGTAACTAACATTGTGTCATGGAAATTTTATATGTTAGATATGTACTAAATTTATATGTATTATAAGAGATTACAAGTATTGCATTTAAAATTTTCAGGCTGCACCAATTAAAGTAGTTGTAACTGGAGCTGCTGGTCAAATTGGCTACTCCCTAGTGTATCAAATTGCATCTGGTGCTGTTTTTGGGCCAGAACAGCCAGTATTCCTTCATCTTCTTGATATTGCTCCTATGATGGGAGTATTAGGTGGTGTTGTGATGGAATTAGCAGATTGTGCCCTGCCATTGCTTGCTGGAGTCTTGCCTACTGCCAATCCTGAGGAGGCTTTTAAAGATGTTGCTGCTGCTTTCCTTGTGGGTTCTATGCCTAGAAGAGAAGGTATGGAAAGAAAAGACCTCCTTTCTGCCAATGTACGCATTTTCAAAGAACAAGGACAAGCCCTAGACAAAGTTGCTCATAAGGATGTTAAAGTTCTTGTTGTTGGCAACCCAGCTAACACAAATGCCTTTATTTGTTCTAAATATGCTCCGTCTATCCCTAAAGAAAATTTTACAGCTATGACTAGGTTAGATCAAAATCGTGCTCAGTCTCAGTTGGCTGCTAAAATTGGAGTCCCAGTTCAAGATGTTAAGAATGTTATTATTTGGGGTAATCACTCTTCAACTCAATTCCCTGATGCGTCTAACGCAGTTGTCAAAATTGGAGGTGTAGAAAAGAAAGTGTCAGAAGTTATCAATGATGATGAATATTTGAAATCAACATTTGTATCAACTGTACAAAAGCGAGGAGCAGCAGTTATTGCAGCTAGGAAAATGTCATCAGCTCTATCTGCTGCCAAAGCTGCATCAGACCACATGAGGGACTGGTTCTTAGGAACTGGTGATCGCTGGGTTAGTATGGGTATTGTCTCCGATGGCTCATATGGAACACCAAGAGACATTGTATATTCATTCCCAGTTACAGTTAGCAATGGAAAATGGCAAATTGTCCAGGGCCTAACTATTTCTGACTTTGCTAGGGAGAAGTTAGATGCAACTGCCAAGGAGCTGGTAGAAGAGAAACAAGATGCTTTAGATGTCTGTAAAGACTAATTTTTTATACAAGAGTAGAACAAATATTTATATGTAGCATTACATTGATATTATTGGCAATAAATTATTTCTTGTTACACAAAAAAAGGATTTGTTGTAGTTTTGCACTAAGATTTATTTAAGACAATAGACTTATAGAAATCATATTATAGATATATTTTTTTCAAAATAAAGAAATATCTCTTTTCTGTTTCAGTTTTTTAATGTACAAATCTTATTTATTAAATACTAGCGACTTGCCCTTGCTTCCTCAAGTATGTTTTAAATATATATAAATCGTTATTAGTCATGTGAATTTTTATTATTATTTTTCCGATGTTTTAATAGTTATTCTGATTATCAGGATGGAGACAAATCCAACAAATCAAAGATCATAAATTGGTCCAATTGTGTGTGAGTTATAAATGGTGTAGCTAACCCGACTTTGTTTTATATTTATGTAGTTATAGATATACAAAACATTATTAATTTTGTAATATCCATAAAAAATAATATTATGTAATATGTATAAAAATTATCAGTAGAATAACATAGAAACGATAATAATTTTATATTTTCAATTTAACCTAAATTATACCTTATCATTAATAGTATAAAAAATAGATAATATATTGTACCTAAGGAAAAGTTTATCTATATTGTCGCAACATGATGCTGATATATTTACTATTATAATTTTCAAGTATCTAAATTAATACGATAACAACTTATTAAAAAAAATGATTCTTGTAGCTTCAACTGCTAGCTGTGATAGGATTATATTACAGCAAATTATAATACCAATTCAGCCTTCTACACCTATTCTGCGATTTCATCTTATTTTTAACGACCGGCGCAAAAAAAGGGTTATTATAAGTTAGACTTGTCTGTGTGTCTGTTTGTGAGTTATTTTTTGTGTCGGTGATTACTTAAAATTTATATTTTATTTTTACTTCATTCTCTTTAAATTACTGGCGGACACTAATTTTAATAGATAACTCTCTTTTAGACTATCCTTATGAGCCCAAACACGCTATGTCTGTTGTAAGTTTCTGAGGAATTAAGTATCCCGCAGATTGTTTTATGCTACAGCATCAGCTCAAGGTTAATATGTCTTAGCATTTAGCAATACCACTGAAGTCAGCGTTGGATTTACTCTAGGCTCACTTGGGGCTAGTGGCTAGGGCGGCAAAATTCGGAGGCTGGGAAAAAAAATTTCTTCGCGTTATGGAAAATCCTTTTTTTTTATTTTACAAAAAATGAAAAATAAGAAAAGATTAACTAGTAGGTATATTTTTCAAAAAATTGGTATCTTTTTTAAATTAATTTTCTGCATTTTTTCAAAAAAATAATCTATCGAAATTTTACCCATTTTTTTGCAAAATTTCGATGATTGGTTGGCATTTTTTACTATGCTCAGGGGCGGCGCTAATGTTAAATCCGGCACTGACTGGAGTAATAGTAGGTACACTTTTCAAATCAATCGGATCTGTGAAAATTAGTAAGACCCTTTTGTCAAGTAGGAAATGAGTTGATGATCATCAAACGCCGGAACAGGACTTTGTAGTTTTCTTTTGTGTCGGGGGTTACTTAAACTTAAATTTTTAATTTAATTTTTTTAATCTTAAAATTGAGAACTGTGACACTACTAAGTAGTGAAATAGCAAAGATTTTATCATCTGACAATAGGTTTTAATGCTCTTCATTACACTAATTGACAATTCTGTAATTACATAGGTATGTAAATAATATGCGATTAAAGCATAAGGAAAAAAATATTTCCCATACAAATTGACCATGGCTTTTTTAACTTTCTTTAAACATTTTCGCATACCACTTGCATACTTATATAGTGACACACCAGTTAGAGAAATTTTCATGGGGCGCCGCAGGACCATATTTTTTTTTAATATTGAGAAATGGATTTCCGAATGCCTACAGCTGGTTACTGCATAAAAGTGGTTATGTGGAACTCACCGGCGGCTAGTAAAGCAAGTACCTACTACTTACTGAAATACATCGGAAGCGTTAGAGCGTGGCAGGATCGCTTATGCACCGACATCTGGCCTGCCGAAGCAGATCACAACAACCAAGGGGTTGCTCCCACGATCCACACTGCTATTATTGGACAGTGAAGTAGGTACTAGGAGTAACCCGCATGGTACCTCCTGGACAAACTAGCCACTTTTTACCTCGATTCTTAGTAATGTGTTCCCATGAAGCATGGCAAATTTATTTAACTTTTAGTTCATATATTTACCAATAGGTAACACAGCTTAAAACGATTAAAATAAAATCAAATAAATACTTCAAGAGAGTGAAATAACTCAGGTTAGACTTGTAAAATATATTTTTTCCTATAGTAAATTTTTATTATCCTATTGTTTTTTTATTTTATTATCCTATAGGTAAGAATGTGAAATTCAGAATAAGGTTACAAGGAATTTGATTTACTAAGTCGAAGGTCCAAACCACACGGCTCTAACTGCTTTGCATGTAGTTGCCAGGTTAACGACAGATTTGATAACGGCACTTAAAACACGGCTTGGAAACCCGTTCAATTTTTAAACCGGTTTTAGTCAATGACCCCCCCTATTTAAAAACTCCAATAGGATCCCATCAAAAGCAACAAAAGCCACATAGAAACCAATAGATATTTATTGGTTTCTATGTGGCTTTTGTCGCTTTTGATGGGATTCTATAGGTGTTTTTCAACAGGGCCAAAGGCTTTTCGTTTTCGGCTGAAGGATTCGGTTACGTTTTTTAACCGGTTAAATCTAGGAGAACGGTTTTCGATGAATTTAGGTTCCATGATCAATACACCTCCAGGTAAATTTCTAAGAAGGTAATTAAAATTCTATCTAGAAATCTATTTTTAACTGACACGCCGGCGCGGGCGTGTCCACGGTCGTGGAGGGATTAACTGATTAAAATGAATTTTTGGCTTTGTTTACATTTCGTCTTTACTAATTGTGAATGGCTTACTTAATAGAAGGCTACATGTACGAAGAATAACTGTTAAATATTATTATTTCGGTTTACTAAACCGTTCGTTTTAGGTATTAACCGGTTAAAGTACGAGCGCTGAATTAACAATTACATTACCAAAATAAGCGTATTTTTTTTTAAATTACGCTTCCGACCCCTGCTTAAAAATATGAGCGTAGCAGATTTCTTGAAGGCTGAAGAGTTCGAACGCCCAAATAGATCTGAAACTATTAATCGGATTTGAAAAAATGATTTTTTTTTGTCTTTATTGAGGAAGGAAGTCAATGCACGCAATGACCTTTGGGGACGTACACGACAGTAGTACCTACTATAAAAACTGGAGAAACGTGTACCAGAAATGATAATTAAAAATATTGAACAATTGTAAGGTATAAATAAAACAGTTAATTATTATTAAATTTCTAACACCTTTATTTGTATCAATTCATATAAGATGTTTGATATAGACAATTATTCAGTGAACTTATAATTTAATGAAAAGATTAAATACAAAATGGATTCAAAATGTATATCTAGAATAAGTTTGTGTATGGTTATGGACGTTTTTATAGCGTTAGGTCAAAATCCTTATAACATTTATAAATCGTTTGTTATATTACCGGTTCCAAAATATGAAAGAATATAACCAGTTATAAATATTCGATTGTGAACGTCATCAGTTAGATAATATAGTTAGATCGTCTAATAATATATTATTTTAATAGAATTCATGTTATTACATAGAAAAATAATATTATGTAATACATAGATGCGTAAATTTCTTACGTTATAATAATAAAAAAGTTTGAAATGATAAGCAATTTTTTCATAATTCATTTAAAATGAAATTAGATTTAAAATTTCATAGATTTATGCTATGAATGTTATTTCCAGCCTTTTAAAGGTCACCCAAGTTTACATTATTTTGGATTTACTTTACTAATTCTCAGACTCAGACCAATAATACTTTTTTATTCGTCTGAGTTCTCAGATTGAAAAATTTATAAAATCCATTTTGTATTTAATCCTTAAAAGTTTATAAATTATGCACTATAAATACATACATATGTCCCATTTTTCGAATGAGCTTATAACAAAATCACAGATTAAAATTACTTAATATCTACCCGTAAATCACCTTTTCTTAATCTTAAACAAAATCTTTAATATTTTCGCTGTTTTCTTTCCAAATCAAGTATTTTGGTAGACCAGCTATTTTATAAATTATAATATTAATATTTAATTCATTTATTAGGTATTATAATTAATAAGAAGTGTCCGGGTTGTATCAATTATTTTAAATATATTTAACAAAAAAAAAAACATAAAAGCCAAACTTCATTTACCCGTAATAAATAGTAAGTAGTAATTTCTTAGTCTTAATTTATTTATTTTACATCAATTCTTTTTTTTTCAATTAATTTCTGATATTATTTAATTTATCTGTGTTTTAGAAATTTGCTAATATAAGTCATGAATTTGTTAGTAAATTCTGTGGTCAAACGGTACCTCAGTGCGAAGTAAGCAGCACCTCTATGTAACATTGTAAAAATTATTAGACCGACGATTTGTATTCCATATTTTTCATTAGCCATTCCTACATCCCTTAATAGTAGATTAGTATCTGCATATAAGCAGAAATCGGTGTTGCATTCCATTAGAGGACGTTTATCGTATAACGCTAGGCAGAAACCAGTTAAGCCGTAGCGTAGATATGATATTGACATTAAAAACCGCATTATGGCTTCGATGAATGGGCCAAAGCCTACTCCGTAGCAGCAAAGAGCGAGTAACGGCGCAACCGTTGCTGGACCGACGATGGAACCATTCTAAAAAAATATTAATTAAAAAAAATAGATCAAGATGTAGGTATGAATAATTATGGTAATTAAAACCTAAGAAATTAAATAAGTTGATCTACTGATAAAAACGCGAACCAATAGCCTGGCTGTCTGTTTGTCTGTTTATAGTCATTAATCTCCCGAAATGCTGCATCGACTTTAACAGGGTTATTTATTATTCGACTTTCACTGGCAAGTAAAGGATTCGGGTGAGAATGACATTGATATTTACTATCACAAAACTGACGCAAATCTAGTTAAGTATTACAATAGTAATGGTAGGAGAGTCCAAGAGGGAATTTTTGCAGTTTCTCAAGCGCGTGTAAAGCTTTGTTTCACTGTAATACAAACGTTTGCTTGCAGGTATCGAGCCTGCAATCTTCAGGCCAGTAGGTTTCTCAAATTCCTCAACTTAATAGTTTACTTACAGTAACATTGAATGTAGTGCCGACAAGTAGTCCGAGTCCTTCCGAGCATATTGCCGTTAATAATCCACTAATTGCGAATAGAATGAATCTGTCCATTTCTAGTAGTTGTCCAGACATTAAATAGCAGATAATTATAAATAATGTTCCGAGACACATCTGAAACAAATATTTAAATGAAATTTTGCAATATTTCAGCAGTTGGATATCTTCTTGAGGGAAGCATCCTATTAAGATTTAAAAAAAATCTATGAAGTATCACACTTTCAATGATAGTTAGTTATGGATTAATAATAACATGAGCGGAGAATAATAGGCTGGAACTACATAGAATAAATACCTAACTGGGATGGGTTTTGTTTAATTAGTCTTTTAACCGACTTCCAAAGAGGACGAGGTCGTCAATTCGTCGGAATCTTTTTTTTATGTATGTTCACCGATTACTCGAAGACGCCTGAACCGATTTGGAAATATTTTTTTGTTTCAAAGGGTATACTTCTCAGGTGATCCCGTGTAAATTTTATCGAAATCGGTCGAACAGTTTTAAAAAAAAATCAACAATATATTTTTTAAATAAATTGCTTCATCGCATATGTTATGAAAAATCCTTCTCCTTACCAATTACCTGCTTATTACGTGTACACTAAAAATGGAAAAATAAAAACTTTTTAACAAAAAATAAAAGCCGACTTCCAGGCACTAAAATCTAAAAAAATAACTAAACGGGGGTTTCATTTAGAATAGACACCTAATCAGATATTTTCGAAGTCGGTGCCAGCCGACAATATTTTAAGATATGAATATCTAATAGGTAAATATGTATTTTTACGTATCGAAATATATTAGATTTGCTTTGCATCGGCAAAAGCAAATATTTCAATTTAATAATTTATAGGTACTTACATTTTTACTGTGGAAAATATCTCATCTCTGAGAAATCTATACTAAACGTTAAAACGTAAGTAGGGACGAATCCGAGCGGAGCGAGGGTGAGGCGCTAGTGATGTATAATATTACTTTTATTTGATTCTATCTTTGATCGTAATACGTAACAGTATAAATATAAAAAAAATCTTTTTGCTATTTCTTTATGTTCTACAAAAGATTTTTCTTAAACAAAAAAGTATATTTTAATACCAATAAAATAGCAGTTTCATTTAAAAATAAACAATACAAGTCTTAAAGTGGAACATACTACGAGTAAAGACTTTTATTTCAGAATATTGTGAGTAAAATATGCTGGAAATAATTGCTTTCGACTGCTGCAACCGCTTTATTCTTCAACATCCAATTCTTTAGCTTTATTGTAGGTTTATGCTTAAATGATTTTGCTAATATTTCAAGCAAGTGGACCAACTTCATATCACTTTGTTCTTTCGTTTCTCTATTTTTATCTGTAGTAATATTACAAAGCCCACAGTGTTTGTTTTTTGTTTGCTTAAACGCGCTAATATCTTCAAATTTGAAAACTACATATATATTTCTGCCTTAGGGAAAGGTCTAAATCTAAAATACAGGGAAGTCTCTTTTCAATCGGTGAAGTAGATAGATATCTACACATATTATAAAACAAAGTAGCTGTCTGCGTCTGTCTGTTTCTTCGCTTACTTCTTCTAAAACACTCTACGTATTTATATACGGTTTTGAATAATAGAATGCGATAAATGAGGATGATTTTTGTATATAATTTGCATGGATAATTTTCAAGCCTTTTCTTTTTTTTTCTTTTCCTACAGAAAAGTCCACAATAGCCTGTATCACTCACTCTTTTTATCTTTATAAAAAGTACCTACCTAGTTAGACGCGCGTCCTAATAATTGGGGGTTTAAAAATTACTCGGAAGAAGACAATGGAAGAAACTAAAATGGCTCGACAAAACGAAATATATAAAATGGCCGATTTCAATTGTTCTGATTTAAGTGTACCTTCAATTTTGTATTTATTTTGTTGTAGCAAAGCCTAGTCGTGTAGGCCGAGCGTAACTTTTCCCTGTCCAATTAAAATCCATTTCAATATTGGATAAAGTTACGTATATAGCATTGCGATAGTTCATCAGTCGGAGGACAACTGTCACTAGCGAATTTATTTATTCTAAACATTTATGTTAAAACTAGCGGACCCGACAGACGTTGTCCTGTCTACACGTCTTTAATTTGAAAATTTCAAACTTTTTTTAATAATTTTTTTGATGAAAATTATTATTCAAATTGTGAATCTAAACCATTCCCAGATCCCCTTGAACACACACAAAAAATTTCATCAAAATCGGTCCAGTCGTTTGAGAGAAGTTCAGTGACATACACACTCACAGAAGAATTATATATATAAAGATGGAGTTAAATACAGTGTTGATTAAATATGCAATATCACGTTATTACAAAAATATCTAATTTAATATTTTTTAGACGTGGATGTGAATCGTCTTTCCCTAAAAGAGCACGTATTTATTATGTTAATGAAGATTGTCCAAACAGATGTCAAACAATAAAAAGGGCCAAGTTAGTAGATTCGTCTATCACATAACATCCATACTTAATATTATAAATGTAAAAGTGTGTATGTTTGTTTGTCCTTCTTTCACGTCGAAACGGAGTGACGGATTGGCGTGATTTTTCGTGTGGAGATAGTTGGAAGGCTGGAAAGTGACATAGGCTACTATTTACCGTGGGAGATTATCTCATTCCCATGGGAATATACGTTATATTACAACCCGAAAAATTATGTATGATCAGAATTACTTGAAACTTGGTATTAATGTTCTTCAATACAATTGAATAAATTCGTGTATTAGCATTTTTCGAAATCTATCTCATAAGGGGGTAAAATAGGGGATGAAATTTTGTATGAAACCTACCTTTTTGAGCTTTTTTGTAGTTTTAGCGCGAGCGAAACCGCGGGTTCTACTAGTTTCATATACATTATACATAAGTTCCATAAGGACTAATATCTTATTCTTACATAACATTAATTTCATTTCACTTGCAAATTTCTAAAATCATTAGGTTTAACTATGTTATAATGTATGTATATGTAATAAATGTGTAATTTGTAAACATATATAGTTAACAAATTTAACTATGTACACACTAGCGACTTACCCTCTCCTCTTTGAGCCTTAACCCTACTTCTTTTTTCAAAATAAAAGTCGCCTAAGTTAATGCTTATAACATCAGTGCAGCTATTTGTCAGTGAAAATCTCGTCAAAATTCGTCCGGCCGTTTTGGAAATTAGCCGGAACAAATAGACAGACAAACAAAAATTTTAAAAAATATGTTTTTCTTATAAGTACCGTATATAGTTTTGTATGCATTTAGCAGACAGACAGACAGATAGAACGCGGAACGGCGGAGAGACATACAGAAAAAAATTTAAAAATTGTGTTTTTCTTATAAGTACCGTATATAATTTCACCAGCTTTTTGTAATATTCACTTATTTTGACATTACAAACAGACACTTCCATTTTATTTATCTGTATAAATAATAAATTTATGAAGCACGTTTGTTCGCATATACATATGTATTATAATTATTATTACATATATATTATGTAAGTTAGCGGCAGTTCTTTATGTAGTTTGTAGTACGAATTAGAAGTCCAATGAAAATTAAGATGAGAATTAAACAAGTTAAAGTGAAATAATAGTGCTAGTTGAACTCGTGGTGAAATTGCGGGGGAGCTTTAAGTGGCTATATTTATACCAGAAGTAAAGACGAGTATTTGCAAGAGATCAGCTTTAATTTCTGTTCTTGGAACTCAAGCTTTCAACAGCAATAAATTAAGAAGACATGTGATGTCGTTGCTTAGTGGGCTATCATAATTCGACGGGTAAAAGGCTATTTGGTTTAAGCGACATTTTCTTAACTTTACAGGAGAGCCATTTAAAAAAAAAACATTAAAATGGCCTTTCACCCGTCGATATTAAGTTTATTTCTGTGGAAGGAAGACGAAAATTTGTATTGACTTCGAGGCGAATTATAAAGACAACATAAAGTATATCTAATCTAATATCAGTTAAAAAAGTTTGTGTGTTTGTGTGTATGTATGTATGTATATATGTATGTATGTATGCAGCCCTTTTTAACGTCCCACTACCATAGACGAGATCGGGTTGGCAGACTTCACACGTCTTTCAAGTCTTTGAAAAACTTGCTAGGTTCTCTCAAACATGCAGATTTCCTCACGATGTTATTCTTCACCGTAAGACAAATGGTAATCATGTTGGAAATTATTCGCACATGAGAATAGCCGAAGTACGAGACCGGGATTTGAACCCGTTTGACTCGGTTTCCAGCGGGCTAGGGCCTATGAAGTTTGTTTAGCAGAGTGTATTGTTGTTAACATTAATGGGCCGTCTCGACCGGGAAAGTCGGTACTATAACTCTTTTACTGAATATCGATGTAAAGTAATACCTAGTAAATATGCGGTTCGGTGAGTGAAAACGCCAGAAGGCAACCCACATATTATAATGGATACGATATTATAGGAATAATACGAAAAATGATTCTTTACACACTTTATAGTCGTGTTGTTGGGTGCTATATTAATTAAGATATATATATATATATATATATATATATATATATATATATATCCAGGTAAATTTCTAAGAAATTAATTAAAATTCTAAGAAATCTATTGTTAACTGACACGCCGGCGTGTCCGCGGTCGTGGAAGGAATATGGATATTATAAAAACCAAATTAGTGAATATTATGTGCAAATTGTGATTTGAGAAATATTTTTTCTGCTAATCCTCGATTCGAGATGGAGTGGGTTATCGACATAAAAGTTTATAAGAGGCGATCACAAAAACATATACAACTTCTACTCCTATATTTAAATATACAATAATATTATAATTTATGAAATAAAATATGTTTATTTTTTACCTACATAATTTATGTCTCCGACTGTGTAGTAAGTTCCTTCGTCTATCTTTTAGTTAGTTTTTTACGCAGTCGGGTTTTACTTTTGCAATTTAAATTTAGAATGTAGAAAGTCCTGTTCAATATATCCTTCCAATGAGTATATTGGCAATTACCAGCAGAGTAAAAATGATTAATCAATATATAGGGTGCGTAATTGTGCTCTCAGCAAAGAGAGGGTAGAACGTTAGTTATTTTTAACCGTAATACATACCATCAAGGGCATCGACGATAGTGTGAGGGCTGCATAATACGCCTTTAAACTGTACCAGCGATTGAAATATTCTCGCCTTAGCATACGAATTTCCATTGGGACTGAAAAAGATTATTAGTATTTAATACATATACATTATAAATACAAGTACACATACACACGCACACACGCACGCACGCACGCACGCACGCACGCACGCACGCACATACATATAATATGAATAAAATTATATATAATTTTATTAAGCACATTATTATAGTGACGATTACATTATACGTTAGTTGAAGATTAAAATTAATTTGTTTAGTTAATCAACGCCAAATTATACAATGGTAAATAAAAGTATTATACTAATAAGATATTTTATGTACTTAATTTAATGGAACTTTTATTCTTTAAATATTTTATTTTATCATCATAAAATCAGTCATCTCACATCTAAAAGTTCATCTTTTATAGATTATATAAAAAAAACCCTTACGACAAGCAGACTGCATGAATTTCATTGCCTAAGATAGGACACAATAAACGTGACCTCGTTTTCTTTGATTTTGTAGGAAATAGCATATATGGAAAATCTTTTTAATCCTATTTTATCCGCTTAAGTGTCATAAATTTCTATCTATTAAAGCAAATAGGTTTCAAAATGATGTCCATTAGGGTAACATGAGTTGTGGAAAATGGTATCAAAGGTCTTTCTTATTGACCCTTCTATGTAAATAGACTCAAAGCCTTCCTTAGGTTATTACTTTGGCATGGATGTATAGGCCAAAAGTTTTTGTTATGTATATTTTGCTATGGTGATGGTTGAACGGTTTTGTATAGAAATGTGACAAAAACGAGATGTGCATTTTACATATAAAGGATATTTGATGAATTCAGTACTATCCTCTGTATATGAAGATACCTAAGCAATAGTATTATATTTTTTTAGATATATCTTTTAGTAGATTTTATAGTTTTTGATAAACACTTAGCGGCAGTTAGTCGCCACATAAGAGGAGATGAAGCGATATCTACGGATCATCCAAGTTTTGTAATGAAACTTTAGTTATATTTTTGTAAAGGAAACAAATTAACTAATAATATATATGTAATATAAAATACTTGTAGCAATTATTAAGGTTCTATTGTACAATGTTGTTTAAGCCTAATGAATTTGGGACGCTTAGAACATAAAAGTGCCTTTATTTCTCTAGGGATTAAAGGTAATTCGAGACACTTTCATGATAATTTAGTTTGCTATGTAATGTAAAATAGCGGTTTGAGTTCACGTAATAATAATTCTGCAAATTTTTATATATATTTAAATAATATTTAAATAAATTTCTAAAGTAGTAAAATAAATGAATTTCTAAAGTATCTGTATCAGTATACGGTGTCCCAGAAAGTAGTGTCAAGCGGAAGTATAGAGATAGAGCACCCCTTGGGGTACCCGAATCACCCCCATGTATATTACGATTGTTCATAGTTTTTAAGTTATAAATTATTTTTTGAATTTTTGAGAATTTTCAAACTGAACAACTTAAAAAAGTTCTAAACAAAGTAGACACTACTTTCTGGGACTTCCTGTATATATAAAAAAAACCTTTAATTCCATTCGTACCAGATGAAATTTCAAATTATTTTGATTTTATAGGTAAGCTTTCTGTTATCTCGGATATACTTAAAGTGTTTGAATTTATTTTACAGAAACCTTTTCAATTGAGAATAAAATTAAGTTTTAAAGAAGTAAACACTTAATAGAGAGTTTTAAAACTCATTATTAGTAAAAAAAATATATAAATAGTTTTTATGATAATAAATAGCAGAGTAAAGTGTACGACTATATACTTACATAGTAGAACAGGAATCATGACGTAAGTGTACATAAAGAACACAACGCAACTGAGGCAGAATTTAAAGTTGACAATAGGTACATTCCCGTCATTTCCAATAAGAAAGAATATGCCTCCTAAAAGAACTGCTGCACTCACATGATGTAACAGCTGAATCCATAAACTTAGCTAAAAATAATAAAAGTAATAAACGAATTGTGTCTCACGTAATATAGTTTTAATCGACCAAAAAAAAAATTTGACACGTATATTTTTTTTTATGTTCACGTGGTCAATGAGTAACTTTTTACAGTGTACTCAGATTTCGATTATTCTTTTTTTATTGGATAGGGTTTAACTCAAAGTGTTTTTTGAAGTCGGTTTAATTTTTTTTAAGTTTTTATATTTATCTTGATTCTAGTAATTCAGATATTAATATTTATTTATTATTAAAAAAAGCAAATAAATATAGATGCTACTATCTTACTTTGTTTCGTCTCATCTGTAAGAACATTCTTTTAATTAGGATGATAAATTGCGTCAAGAATGTTGTAGGGAACTCCATTTTTTGTAACTGTTCTTTCGCTACATGCTCCACAAATATCCTCTGGATTGAGTCGTCCGAATGTAAAACTGGCTTCCTATTGCGTCCAAAAATTATAAAAATATAAAATTATTTATATGTTACTGTTATGTAGATTAATATTATTTTTCGTATTAATCACATATATTTTGACTATCACATTTTATATTGGTTTTGAAAAATTGGCCATAAAAATTATTTTAAAGTCAGAAAATTAGTCAATAAATTATTATTAAATTATCGGTATATTATAATATTATTAGCAGAACCCGCAGTTACGCCCGCGTTCTATCTATAAAAAAAACTCTTTGGCTTTATGTTACAGCAACTCACCATCGATTCGCTCGGGTTAGTCGCTATGTGTTTATATAATATTGTTCATATTAAAATACTAAATTCGCGATTAAAAAAATGGGGGGTGGGGGTAGAAGGGTGAAAAATACTTTACGACCTATTCTCATACCTACCAAATATACAAGAAAAAAATCATTAAAATCGGTCGAGCCGTTTCAGAGGAGTGCGACCACAAATATCGTGACACGAGATATTTATATATTAGAAGATAATATTAATGAATAGGCTACTTGTTATATGTATATAGATTGAAAAAATGTGTATTATTAGCAAACTTTTTTTAAGATTAGCATAATTTTATTTTTCCTTAGCTTTCAAAATAAAAGAAGGAAAGTTAGACTTTGACTTTTCAAATAAGTTCCGATGAATGATAATTGCTCTTTGAGTTTCCAATTTACCCAAATTTAGTCAATTATTACGCGCAATTATTCAAAAAAAGAAATAGAAAACGAAGGAATAAGTCTTTTAAGTCAGCAATATCAACACATTTTCGGGACAATAGCGAAAACGTTTATTTGAGAAGTTTGTAAATGATAACAATAAAAGTTTTACTCACCGTCCGCCTTTTAGTGTCATTCGATCAAGTTTTCTACAAAGTTTTCCATTTTGACATAGTTCAGACATTTGGGCACTTGCTTCAGTATTACCATGGAGGGTTTCTAGTACGAAGTCTGCAGGATTGTGAGTTTTTGGACATACGTGGCCTATTTCTGCTAAAAATGGCACTAATAAAGGTGCAGCACCCTGTAAAAAACTTTATTTTAATACAATATATTCTACATTGTAATTAAAATGTATGTGTTATAACCATAACATTAAAGAAAAGTTGAGAACAATAGTGGGTTTTGAAAGTATATTATGCTATGCATATACGAGAAAATGCAAATGTAAAATGCAAATCTGAGGACTTGTTTACCGTTACCATAAGATTTATCTCCTTTCTTATACATCGATATGTAGCTTTGCCTTTCATATCAAAATCGTTCTTTAGAAATATACGACTAATCATAAATACAGAGTGGAGAGAGTTTTTATGTAGAAAATACTTAAAATATCTAAAGATGTTCGCTATTTTATGATATTTAAAATACTAAATACTTTGGAGAACAGGTTGAATGAATTAAAATAAACAAACGTAAAGTTGTTTAAAATAACTTGTCTGTTTAAATTGTATTAAATTATACATTATTTTCGATAAGAATGTAATAATAGTACAAAAAATTATTTTCTCCAAAGCGTAGCGTTTTTCTATTGTAAGGTAAAACACAGATGAACTCATCGTAAGTGTGGATTACTATTTCACCAAAGTTTTGAAAGCTTTATACTCGTTGGGACTGCAGACCCAATAATAAAAGTCACAAACAAGATATATTACGAGGAAAGAAATATGAAAATTGCAAGAACTTCGCGGGTACTTGGTACGGCAGTAGGTTTATTTTAGTCGCTTTTAAAATACATAAAACGTTGAATTATAAGTACCTACTAAAATGTAGACATGCAAATTATGGTTTAAGTACATATTTTATTAGATAAGTAGTGATTGTCAGCAGTTTTATATGTTTAGTGTTAGGGCTAATGTTTTGGGTTTTGAACTCAAAGGGTTTAAGCGCTATTAAGCCCTTACTTTGGTTTGCCTGTATATGTCTTACATTTCTTAGTAGAATATTTTTTAAATAGTAACAGGTAAGCTAGTGTAAATTTTCAAAGAATACGATTACATTAAATCAAAAAAATAATTATTGTGATACAAGACATAAGCAAAAACATATTTACAAAAATAAGAAACCCGACTGCGTAAAAAGTGAACCTAAAGATGAGAACAAGTTCCCGAAAGTACATTATATTATGCAGTAGGAGACATAGGTACCTACTTGTTTTATAGCTGCGTGTGTGTATGTCTCCGACTGCATATTACTATTTCCCTTCGTCAACTAGTTCTCATCTTTTTAGTTCGCTTTTCACACAGTCGGGTTTCTAATTTTTATAAATATTTTTTTTATTTACAGCTTTTTAGTTTTAGTCAGTTAGACATTTTTAGTTTTATTTAACAATTTGTTATGTTAAATTACTTTTAAACATTAGGTACATATGTATCTATAATATAAAAATGAATCGCTGAATGTGTTGCTAAGCGCAAATCTCGAGAGCAGCTGAACCGATTTCGCTCATTCTTTTTTTTGAATATTCCTTGAAGTACGAGGATGGTTGGAAAAAATTACAGAATTACCTCAAAAAGTCTAAAAACAACACTTTACCGATTTAGAAAATTCTTTTTTTGCTTTTTGAAACAAAAAAAGAATTTTCTAAATCGGTTCAGGCGTCTTCGAACAAATGGTGAACTTATATAAAAAAAAGAGATAAAAAAAGATTCCGACCAATTGAGAACCTCCTCCTTTTTGAAGAAGTCGGTTGAAAATAAAACACATTCTTCAAATTTATTTTAATTTAATTTTATATTGTCGTCTACTTATTTATGTTGTAGGTACGACTTTATGATACGGTATTCTAAGCATATTTTCACTCCGCTAGCAAGTAATTTATAATTAATGAAATCACAAAGCACCTTCATTTGCCATAGTGACAGCTAAATGCTCTACAAACGTTGAACATATTCCGAACACAAAGGAATTTCTGCTTAGCACAAACTTGAATATGACAGCAATGCAATTTGGCAATTGAGAGAACAGCTGTTTTCTCCGTCTATATAGCTTACTAGCATTGCCCGCGGCTCCGCCCGCGTTCAGATGACCAAAAACCAAATTCTTAGGTTTTACATATTAGTATACCCTTACATAGCAGTTTTTGTATCTTTTCTCAAAAAAGAGATATTTTCCCGCGGTAAAAAATATCCTTTATGTTGACCTGGTTAACTAGCAATCACCATACCGAATTTCATCAAAATCCCTCCGGTGGTTTTTCTGTGATGCGGAAACAGACAGACAGACTGATGAAAATTCTAAAAACTATAGATTCGGCCTCTGTATCGAAAATAATGTTTATTTCAATTAGATTTTCCCAAAAAATATTTAATGTACAGATTCGGCTTAGTTACAATTTTATTATATGTATAGACTATATATCTGTCTAGACTCTTGTAAAATAAAGAAAAACGTTTCGAATATTGAATGCCACCAATAAACACAATAATTCAATGGATATCCCATCGATAGCCCTCATATTAATGTTCAGTTTGTTACCAATTCATATCCGAAGAAATCATGCTCATTTAGGTTAAATCAGATATGTTACTTGTCGGCTACTGTTTGCAATTTCGAGCGCATACCTATTTAGTTTATCTATACTAATATTTTATAATTATATAATTACTAATTAATATTTTTAAAATTGTAATAATTATAAAAATAATAGCAAAAATTAAATAAATAATTTTCCATATTCAATTATAATTAAAATTATAAAAATGTTTAAAGTTAAAAATATTGTAATGTAATTGGTGCAATGTTCATTTTGTTAATTGTGGGTAGGCCGTCTGTAACAACTATATCTTTAAGACATGTAACACCTCAGTCTCTCCCGTGACCATGGATGCTGTAAAGCATTCGAAACGTCGGGAACCAAAAATCAAAATAAATCCGCGAAATAATCCGAAAAGATAGTTTTATTTAATAATTAATATTATAAAGATGTAAATTTTGTGATTTTGCGAGTTTTGTATTTATTATTATTAAAAACTTTTATGTTTTTATTACGCTTACAAAAAGTACGACAGGTATATTTTTAGAAAAAAATAATATTATATTCTAATAGATTTTATGAAACTGCCAAAATATGCGTCATTATGTTTTATTCGCTCTAGTTCATTCTATGACCAATCTTCAATATAAATGCAGACACGGAAGCTGGTTTTGTTGATATTAAAAAAAAGCTTATTATAATTAGCTTTATTTTATTAAGAATATTCTTGGAAATTTAAGAAATACTTATGGTTTTTGTATTAGTTTTTAATAATATGGACTTGAATTTTTTGTAAATATGTAGTGCTATGTGGTATTATATAGATGTTAGGATTAATTTTATTTATATTTTTTTTTACTTTGACGACACGTTTGGCTCAGTTTGTAGTGAGCTTACTTGCTGTGCCTGCGGTCGTGGGTTCAAGTCCCGCTGGGGACATTCATTTGTGTGATGAGCTCGAATGTTGGTAGTCCAGTTATGGATGTTTATATTTATGATATGTATGTATATAAAGTTATATATGTGTAGTGTATCAACTACCTGGTATCCATAACACAAGCCTCGTAGCTTACCATGGAACTAGATAGTGCTGTGTGTTAATGCCCCAACATATTTATTTATAATCCGATTCTTAGTTTGATTCCAATTTCCAGGTGATGTCATTTTAACGATTCTCGTTGCAGGAATAAGCTATTAAATTATGTTTTATAAAATATCATGTTCGTATTAGTTTAAATTTTTAATTATGATTTAAATTTACATTTTTTTGAGTTATTTTAATTATTCTTTTTAGTTGAGATTTTTTATAGATATTTTTTTGTGTTTTACAAAAACGTACACTGTACGATCATAATTATTTCTAATTTATAACCTCAACTTAACAATGGACATTTTCCTCCACTTAGAAAGAAACTTAAATGAAAATTGTATTCAATAACTGTAGTCTGTATTTAAATTATATAATTTATTCTTGAAATGTTAAACAGTGCATAAATAGACGGCATTTCGCATTATAGTTGACTGAATAGGGGGGCACGGCAGTGCCCCCGCCAAGTCGTCAACTAATCTTAGAAATTAAAAATTAAATATATATCGTGTTTAAATTAATTTTAAAAATGAGTGTCTTTATTGAACAGTAAAGGCTATGTTGTAATCAAATTAATTAAAAAAATAATAATTTAAAACTAGTGATACCTATCTATGCACATAGTAAAATTTTAACTCAGTCGAATCTCTACATTAAATATTTTTTGGAAAATCTTATTGAAATAGACATCATTATCGATACAGAGGCCGAATCTATAGTTTATAATTTTTTTTTTGTCTGTCTGTCTGTGAAAGCATAACGACAAAACCACTGGACAGATTTTGATGAGATTTGATATGATGATAGCAAGTTATTTAGGTAAATATATAGGATACTTTTTACTGAAAATATATCATCTCTGAGAAAAACGTTAAAATGTAATATATATAACTTAGAATATTGATGGGTATCGTCAGCATTGATTTCTGACGTAAAATCAGCAATAAACTCCTTTACATAATGCCTTTTTCCACATCACTCGGCTCTTATCAAATCGTAACAATCGTAGTCACTTTAAGAACTCGAAACTCAATCAAATTAACTCAAGAATTTTACTTTTGTCGAAGTCATCACGGACTAATAGAGTCTAATGTTCGGAGTCAAGAAGTTAGATTGTCTGGCAGGAGAGGGTTAATTAACTGAACTGACGTCGAGTCGGTACCAAACCCCGAATGTGCCTTATGAAAACTTCTAAGTGTTCTAACCCACATCAAATTATTTATTCATAGACTTTGAAATTATGTTAAACGAATATATTTTGCAGACAGAAAGAGTTGAGTCAATAAATAAATCTATTTTATATCTACATTTTGTATTTATAATTGTTTACATTTTACACAATGTGCCATTCACAAGTTTATTGTAATATCCATACTAATATTATAAATGTGAAATTGTGTTTGTTTGTTTGTTTGTTTGTCTGTCCTTCTTTCACGTCGAAAGAGAGAGACGGATTGCCGTGATCTTTTGTGTGAAGATAGTTGGAGGGCTGGAGAGTGACATAGGCTACTTTTTACCCCGGGAAATTATTTTATTCCCACGGGAAAACACGTTATAATACAAACCAAAAAAATATTTGTGATCAGAATTACTTGAAGCTTGGTATTAATACTCTTCAGTAGAAATTAATAAATACGTGTTTTAGCACTTTTCGAAATTCAACCTATGAGGGGGTAAAATAGAGGATAAAAGTTTGTATGAAACCTACCTTTTTAGAGATATTTTTGTAGTTTAAGCGCGAGCGAAGCCGTGGGTTTTGCTAGTATAATATATAATGTTTTAGGTTTTTATCAATGGAGTCTAAGCCTTAGTTGGGTACTAGTAAAATCGCGTGACTTCGTTTACAGAAACACATCACATCTACGCGCAATCGCATTTTCGAGATAGAGAGTCTGTGCTTTTTTAATACAATATATAAAAAAAAACTATTTTTATTTATTATAATTTTATGTTACACTTAGTTATTTTATACATATGATTTTTACATATTAACATAAATAAAAAAACCTTAAAACGCCTTTCTTGGCGCCACTTTATTGTGCTTCTTTTATTATTATTTGCTACGCCGTCGTAATAACACAACATCAGGACTTAAACCTGTTATGGTTTTAAATATACAACACATAAAACAGAATGGATAGAGGGACGGATCTACCATGACAGGTAACATACATTAGTAATGAAACTTCGAAGCGACTGTTAAGTTTTCTTAGCATTGGAAAAGTAGTTCTATGATGAATATTGCTTAATCATCAATTTAGTCAATGACTGGATATCGTCATTTTTGTTAAATTTTAATTTAGATAGTTTTAAACTTGAATTATTTATTTCAAAAAAAAGGCCCTTAAAAAGTTTATTTCTCCACCCGTAACATATGTATTTGGGTATTCCTATGTTAAGTTTAGGTTTCGCATGGTATAAATAAATGTCTTACCTGATAACAACAAAGTCCTCTAGCCAATACGTACACGCGGTCAAAGAGACTAAACAAAGAGGCGGATGGCTGGTGTATAGTGCATATTATTGTTCTTCCTTGTCGCGAGAGTAGGCGAAGTAAAACGACGAGTTGACGGATGGACACTACGTCAAGACCCCTGTAACAAAACAAAGATTATTTACATTAAAACTACCTTTTTGTTACGCGTTAGCTTTCTTTAGAAGTGACATACAATCCCCCTGATGTGTGTTCACCTTGTAGTGGTGAGGGGACTCATTAGCATCCGGCAATTCAACCGGGCGTGAAGCCAAGAGGCACACTAGATAGCGCACCTTGGTGGGTGGAGCGCCATGCGGTTTGCTTCTGATACTTCTCTGACAGCAGAGTGTACTATTGGAGCAACTCCATGGATATTGTGGTCTGCTTCGGCAGACCTGTCGCTGGGGCGTCGTGGTCGAGTTGCGGGGAGGTTTTGTTGGGCTAAAGTGGGTAAGTACTGGCTTTTCTAGCCGGTGAATCCCACATAACCAACTATGTATGTACAAACAGGTAGTATTCGTAAATGCATTTCCCAACATACGTAAAATACAGTCCGCCGCTAATGTTAGCATTAGCCCATCAAAGCAGGCATTAGGTTTAGAGACGCATCTGGGAGGCTGCCTTCATCGGTGGCCGTCGGGAGGTGTACCAACTACCACGCGGGTTGTTCCTGGTCCTTCTCTGATAGCAGGGTGAACCGCGATAGTAGTTATGGTTCAAGAGGAGGAAGAAATCTAATTAAAAAATATCCTAAATCCCAAAAGCCGGATTTATTGCTCGTGATGAGTGCGTAAGCGATGGTGCGGCGTTTCATCAAATGGGTAATTCTGTTACCTTCAGTACTTGACATTTTAGTCGCTGAGTCTCATGGACATTACATACATTGGTTGCATCTATTATTCTGAGATTAAACTATTTTAAATCATACGACAGAAGTTACGAACCTATACGTATGGTGGTCGTAGTTTGTCGGAAACCCAGCCACGCACAGAAGTTTCATTGTAGCCGGAATGGTTTAAGAATGCATAAAAACACAAACATGCACAAACTTAGTGCTTTTAATTTTTATGTATCTTAATTTTATTTTTAAGTTAGCTATAAGATAATTAAGAAATGTTAAGAAAATAACAACGAAAAACAAAATACTCAATGTTTTGTTAGGTATTATGATTAAATAAAAAGCTGTATTTTTCCATTCATTTGTATGTTAATTAATTTTTCATCATAGTAATTTTACAGTTAAATAAGATTTACTTGCATAGTTATAACATGGAAATAAAAAAAATATTATTTTTTCTATATATTTTCCTTCATGGCAACAGGGTGCAAGTGCACCCACTACCGGCGCCCATGCTGTAATCTACAGATTTTTCTTAATGGACCATTTCTTATATCATAAATATAATATACTAAAGTCAAATAAAAATAGCACAATGCTGGATGGCTTATTAAGTAAGTAATAAGTATAGCTAAGAACTATCACAATTGAACTAGCTTTCAAATTACCCTTTCTCATTTACTCCTTTCGGGCACTGTGGCTATTAAAAGACACATTAAAAATGATATTAAATGACAATATAATAATAAGACTAAGCTGTAAAACACAAATAGAGAATTGTATTATAAACTGTTAACACAAGTTTGCTTCGAAACTTAAAACTGTCAAGTGTTTCACCACCACACTAAAATTTATAACACAAAACTAGCTTAAAACTACATTCTGAACAGAAGTTCTAAGTGTACAAATGTAAGGTTACATTTTATGTGAATTACTGTATTTGTATCCATTACCATCTATAGAACAAAGCATTATATTAAATTTAAATCATCATTTCTTCGAAGAAATCCTGAGAAAGTGGATAAATTACAACGGTTGGATAAAGATTTTAGGTACACTAATTTTCAGGTTAAAAAATTATGAGCGACGTTTAAAAAATTTTAGAATCGAAACCTTTTTAAATTTATAAAATGATAAAATAACGAGAAAAATACATATATAAAAAGAATGTTAATTTTTGACGATTTTGGAACTTAAAAAAATTGTGAGCGATCTCTAAAAAACTTTTTTCGAGCAGATTTTTTAAGGAGGCTCTTAAAACATGAAACACTAACATATTTTCATACGAGACACGAAAAAAAGTTACAATTTTTTTGCGCCAACCTAATTAATATAACACATATACATACATACGTGTACGTATTATTATATATATATATATATATATATATATATATATATATATATATATATATATATATTGTGTTATTAATGTTATGTTTGTATAATAGGATAAATAATGCAGAAAATAACACTAAAAACGTTTAAACCAGTACTTTGTCTATGATAAAGGTTTATTTTCTATTTTTTTAATTGTTATCATTTTTAATTTAAATTAAGCGAACTTTCCTATTAATAATGTCTTCACAATATCACCTTCAAATTCAAGGTTACAATAAATCGCACTTCGCTGCCGTTTATTTTAAGGTTAAATATGAAAGTAACATAATATTCCGATAAAATTAGACTTTGTAGGTAAATAATAAAATAATGACTTATAATAAACAAATAATATGGTAATAGAATAGAATAAAATGTACTGTATATTGTATACTCTTCTATCAATGAATGGAGCCCATACAAAGCATTTCGTTCCCTTTGGGACTTTGACATGTTTCAATTTTCCAAACACGGCTCGGGTTTATGGCCAATAAAACGTTACGACGGGTGTAGTGATTAAACCAATTACTTCTTATTGTGTACATGTAATTTCATGTATTTCAAGAGAACCTACCTTTATTGCATTTGGATATTGTTAACTAAGCATATTGACCACTTGAGCCTTCCAGTAAGGAGTACCCTTTATTTTTATTATCTCCCATCAAACCTTTTGTCTCGAAAAATAAGCAGGTAAAAATTTCATATTAATATATTATATACTCGTACATACTGTACTGTAATAGATTTTTTTCAAGTATTGGATAATAAATCGTGGGCAGCAGTTTCCAAAGTCACCCAGTTACATTATCCTCCCATATATTTTTTATTTATATACGTTGAGACATTAACACACAGCACCATCTAGTTCCATGATAAGCTACGAGGCTTGTGTTATGGATAACAGATAGTTGACACACTATACAAATATATTATATAACTGTAATTACATACATTTATACATATAATAAAAGTGTAATTGATCGCTATCTGTACATTGAAGATATTTGAGAAAAACTATTATTGGGGGTCTTTGTCAACACAACAGAATTCAAAACAATGATTTTTAGAATTTTTGTCTATTTGTCTGTGCATTTGTGCGCGTTAATCTCAGAAACGGCATAATCGATTTGGGTGCGGTTTTCACTAATGTACTGTGGTAAGCTTCACTTAACATTTGTTTGTGTATTGTTTGTTTTATTTTAATCAGTTCATAAATAAAAAAGTCATGTCAATTTAAAGAATCACCTAGGGACGAACCCGAGCAAAGCGAGGGTGAGTCACTAGTACATATATATAAAAACACATGATGAGTACAAGCTTTCGTACTCATCACACAAATGAATGTTTCCAGCGGGTCTCGAACTTGCGATCGCTGGCTAAGCAAGTAGGGTCACTACGAACTGAGCCAAACGTGTGAATTGATAATGTTATTTTTGTTATTTTTTCCATTATTATAAAATAAGAAAACTGCATGTTATATGATACTCTACATCAATACACGAATATTTAATATAAACACCATTGCCTCATTGGTCGTGTCGTATTGATTACACTGTATCATCGAGAAAGAATATTTTCTTAATTATATCATGATAAGTATTTGCTTATTTTATCGATCAGGTTTACGTTTGAATGATTAGCAGAGCGTAAATTTTTTGCCTTACTATAAGTATTGACTTCCCCCATCGAAGGTGTGTCATAAAATATGAGGTTACATACCAAATTAATTTTATAATTTATATGCAAATCTTAATGGACATCTGAGGTACTCGAGGAAGGTTTTTGAAGTGAAAATAGGCAGGTTTGGATGGGCAGTAAATTCATGTAAGTCGTCATCGACATGGTCACGTGACGTGTTAATGCTAACACTCAGAGTGCCGATAGATGTCAAAACCAGGTAAATGTAAACAGTTTTAATTTACAAATTTTAATTTAAGATCAAACAATTAATTTGAATATTTAGATATTCAAATTAATTGTTTGATATTAAATTAAAATAACAACTGTTTGTTTATACTCGTAGTTTTAAGTTTTTACTTCTGTCGGCGGTCCTCATGACTGCTTTTTTTAAACTTAACTTTTAGATTAAAATTTGCGAGGACGACGTGTCGACAAAACCTATTCAGTATCTCTATTATCATAGTAAAAGTCTTTTACTTCAAAAAGGAGATGATAGATATTCTTTTCAATTTTTGTGGTTATGTTAAGAGTGGAATAACTTTTAAGCGATTTTGAAGTAGATTTTTTGTTAAAGACAATAATAATTATTTTACTTCTGCTAAGTTACGCTGTAGTAAATATAAGTACATGAAATGAAATTGAATTTATTTGTTAAGGAACAATTCTTATACTTATACAGAAAAACAATGGCTACGATGATACTGCAAAAGTATTAACCGCGTTGTAGATATCATGTTTTTTAGGTACAAAAAATATTGCAAAATTTAAAGCTATTAAAATTTGTCAATATGTAGATTATACTACATGAATTTATGTTATACTAAACATATTTTTCCAATATCAAAATTCTTATTTGCAATGATATCAATCATATATGCTAATTCAGGGTTAACAAATCTGAATTCGATTCGAACAAATTCAAAACAGTATTCGAGAACATATGGATTAGAGCTGCGTAATAAAATTCTGTACATTATGTAAATTCTGATTTGTAAATAAAATCAATTTTGTTTTTTGATTTCAATAAAGAATTAGTAGAGTACAGTAATAGCATATTGGTAATGCGCTCGTTTGGAAAGCCATGTGGTGAGGATTCAAACCCGGGTCTCCCATCATGATTACCAGTTGTGAATCTGGTGAAGGAACGTCGTAAATTGCATGCTTGTATAAGAGAATTATAAATCTTTTGAAACAACACACATTTGGACAGCGTGGTAGACTATGGTCTATTCCCTCATTTTGTTCTTCCTGGCCTTTCTACCTCAGCGCGTGTTTAGGTGAGGTAGGTTGTCCAGCAGTTCATCGTAGAGAATATGATAAATCTAAGCATAATATGTAATTGAAATCGTTACTAATATAATTATTGATAGGTATCTTTCACGTTGCAACAGCTCAATGAGACTTTAGGTTTAGGTTTACCGGATAGGTGCCTTTAGAGCACATCTATAAAATGTGTTATTGATACATCAATAATTAAAAGATTATGTTCCATTTAGTAAGCATTGGATACTTATTTTCTAGGCAAGTTAAAGCGCAACCAAAGCTAGAGAATTAAAAAATAAATAAACTTACGTTGTTGGTTCATCCAAAAATATGATGGGAGGATTGTTCACTAATTCCAATGCGACTGAAAGGCGTTTAGACTGTCCCCCTGAGAGATTTTGTGACATGGTTTCTCTGTGGTTCCATAGGCCGATTGTTCGAAGGATTTCTTCTACCTAGAAATGAAGAGAAAAAATTTAATGTAAAATTTGTAGTTTTTTGTAGGATATAAAGGAAACACAATTTATTTAATATATATTTAATTGCGTGAGACTTTAGATCGACTGGACAAAAATAGATAAACTTTCTTCGATCTCCTCCAATCTCCTCAACACCCTTTTGACTAGGTCTGTAGGAGGGAAATTATAAAGATATTTGCACAATTTAGAACTATAAAAGTTCTGTTTCAATTGTTTGCATTTCTCTTTGTATACCAACAAAGTGGGCGTCCTTGTCATATTTAATGACTGCAGAGTATTAAATAGAAATTCTAACGCGAGTCTGACTCAAAAGTTTTATTACGTTTTTAACTGTCTATTTATTACGGTTTAAAAGATTTTTAATAGAATCAGGAATCATCGTATACTAAATAATACCTACGATAACTTCCGTATTTTTCAGTAGGGCTCTTATAATAAATATTTTTCGAAGATTTAGAGAGAAAAAAAAACAAGTTTATTTTAGGTTTCGCATTGAAATCATATACGCTCGCTTATTATTTATTATTCAGATTGAATTCTTTTTTCAGGAAAAGAAAATTAGAAGGTAAAAGTAATCATAATTTTGTATAGACCTTCTTTTCCTATTCATTCAATACATAAAGAAAGCTACGTAGTATATTTAAATTTTAAACATTCTAACCGATTCCAACAATGGAGTGCTACGATGCTATTGACATAAATCACATCGTTTTCAAGAAACTGAGAAAAAACATGAATATGTAAAGTAACATGAAAATGTTGGGGGTACATAGCATAAACAATCCACGAATACTAAATATCTTACAATTTAAAAATACTTTTTCCAAAAAGATATTCTCAGTAACAGCCCGGAGTTGAGAAGTCGACGATGTTTTCACCTTCGTGCCTCGGAGAACATGTAAAGCTGTCAGTCCTGCGCTTTAACTCACACTGGTCGTATCAAAATATCGTCCTATTGGACTATGAGAGTAAAAGAAATAGAGAGTGCACTTGTGTCTGCGCGTACACTTGCGATCTATAATATCTCCGGCGCAGTTGGCTAGTCTCAGCGAGATTGGCCGCCGTGACCAAAATCAGTCAGGAGGACATCCTTTATTATTATAAAAACAGTAACTTACAGTATAACATTTAAAAGAAGATATAAGTTGATTAACCAAAAATATTAAATAACTTCAATGTAATATATACCACGCATATTCTTAATATTGAACTTGGCTCCAATTTTTACATTTATGTTTCTGATGCGATCTATAATTTATTCATTAGCAGAAACAATAGATTAAAGTACATTAATCTCAAGAGTATCTACGCTCTTATAAAGTGGTTAAAGTTTACATATTGGGGATGATATTATCTGCCACTATTTATCGATTCTATTATTCTTCCTAAGAAATTATCGCTATTTTTATCGATAAATGAAGTTAAAGTGAAATGAACAATTAATATTAATTTAGGGTTCTTTTTGAGGCCATTGAGTTTAAATATTTCTACTTAACTTTTAGCAATAACCTAGGTTGATTAGTTTTTTAATATCCATTGTGTAATCGCTGAGATGAAAAGAGCTCTTATAAAATCTAAAGGATCGAATTTGTTTCATTTATTGAAAGTTGACGATACATATTTTTGTTCTGACCTATAAAATTTGTATGAACGGGTCTATATAATCTATACAAGGAAATAAACTTTCTGAGCTCTAAGTCTTAAAAATAATTCTGAATATATTAGTTATTATCGTTGGTATCATTGCGTTTTAATAAATAGTAAGTACCTGGGCTACCGAGCTTCGCTAGGAATTTTTGGCCTAAAGTACAATTTTCTTTTTTTTTTAACTAAAAACTTGAATAAATATTAAAAAAAGTAAAAACTTTGTATGCGATTGAGATTCGAACCAGGACACCTGTGATTGTTGATCTTGCACCTTGGCCGCTTGACCACGATACTTATGGGCATAATGGAACGTGCAAATTACCGACCATATTTTGCGTGGAATAATGCAAAAGAAAACTGCATGAAAACTCGAAAACACGCGTTTTCTCAGACAAGACTAATCTAGACCGATTTATCGCCAGCGAAAAACCCCTTGTATACTAAATTATTTAATTTCATGAAAATCGTTGGAGCCGTTACCGAGATTTCGATTATATATACAAGAATTGCTCGTTTAAATATATAAGATCAGATTCTACGAATCTTACGCATCGAAAAGCAAAAACATTGGCAATATATGTACATATATTATATGACTTGGAAATGTATTACATATTTATATTGTTATTTGGATTTCCATCGATGCTGTTAGATGATTTATGGGTTCTAGTGGTATATTTTTATCTAAACCGAATACAGATATATATTATTTACTGGGTTTCAAATGTATCAGTAATGACTTTCACAATTATTGAAGAGAAACTGGAACGTAGTTCGATAAAATAATAATTTTGAATCTATATTTGATAGACGGCAAAGCTTGTGCCAACTCAAACGTATTGTTATTCTTTGTCGTTTAGACATTGGTTTGATTTTTACTAAGAATTAGTAATTAATTTAACATTGAATTAAATAGAACTTAGTAATTTATTTATATATTGTTTAATGTACTTAATTGTTCCTTGTAAGATTTTATATTGTGATTTGAGATTGTTGACTTGTGGCTGTTATACAAAACGATGACAAAATAGATACATATATGTACATTTGCGACTCACCCTCGCTCCGTTCGGGTTCGTCCTTACTTATGTTTTAACGTTTAGTATAATATTTTTCAAAGATAAGATATTTTCCCGCAGTAAAAAGTATCCATATGTTAACCCGGATAACCAGCTATCATCATATCAAATTTCATCAAAATCCCTTTAGTGGTTTTTAGGTGATACGGTCACAGACAGACAGGCAGACAAAAATTCCAAACAACTATAGACTTTGCCTCTGTATCTATAATAATGTATGTATCCATGTTTTATAAGATTATTTCTATAAGATTTTCCAAAAAATATTTATTATACAGATTCGGCTTAATTAGAAATTTATTATATGTATAGATAGATGCTAGCAAAATTATGAATTGTTACTAGTATGAGAATAGAATAAATGTAGTTATCATTATTATTTAGAGTCAAATAAAATACTTATTTCCTGCCAAGCTTGTAGAGATGGCAGCACCAAAACTGTATTTAGTATGATTTATGATTCTTAAAATAAAATCAAAACATATACCATTTAATTTAAATATATGGAAGTGGAAAAATTGTATGGTATAAAAAAGAGGTATTTTGTAAAAAGACATTTTTTTGGGTTAACTGATAACCATAAAGTGTTATTCATAACAACATGAGTGTATTTTCTGGAGTGACTTGAAGTAATGCTGTAAGTTAAACGTGTAATAATGCAAATTCTTATAATATGAATTGTGATTATTTTAAATAAGTGATAAATGATGAAAAAGTTAAATAAATACCTATGGTAAAGTACAAACGGGTTTCTAAATACCGGCCTTTGGTTAGAGGTAAATTCTTACATACATGACAATTTATTAGTTATAATAATTAACATACCCATATAACATTGACTAAGCACTCATGATTTCCCTTTCTTTAATTTTAATCTTACTTAGCAGATTGTAAATGGCAGATATGATGTAATTGTCGAATTTATCAATAGGCAAATGAAAAGAACACAGAATTTTTACTTTTATTATAATATCTTATTCAGAAGCATTCTTATTATCATACATCATAATTTATATAACCATATGTTATTTTTAAAGGATTTTTGTCACGTCGCTATATCACCCTTAACACTAAATAAACATTAACGATGGAGACACAAAATTTTGAATTTACATATTATGTCCACCGCTAATGATGAAAAATAACCAAATAGTTTAAAATTAATGTATTCTTTAAAAATGTCTTAAATTTTTAAATCCATATTCGCTTATAGAATGTAGGTATTGACAGTTAACATATCCAACGAGTTAACGAGTTCGATCTACCGGGCTAATCTGAAGATTGCTTGAAAATTTTATCAAAATCGCTCCGGCCGCTTTAGAGTCCATAAGGAACATACATACATGCATCATCTATACATATAATAAAATTGTAACTGAGCCGAATCTGTACATTAAATATTTTTTGGAAAATACTATTGAAATAAACATAATTATCGATACAGAGACCGAATCTATAGTTTTTAGAATTTTTGTCTGTCTGTTACCGCATCACAGAAAAATCACTTGAGGGATTTTGATGAAATTTGGTATGGTGATAGCTGTTATCCCGGTCAACATATAGGATACTTTTTACCGCGGGAAAATATTTCATTTCTGAGAAAAAATACAAAAACTGCAATGTAAGAGCATACTAATATGTAAAACCTAAGAATTTGGTTTTTGGTCATCTGAACGCGGGCGGAGCTGCGGGCAATGCTATTATGACCAATGGTATATAAGTATATGACCGGTAAAAAAGAGACGAAAAAGTTTCTTAATATTATCAAGGTGATGTAATTGACACGTGTCATTCCACAATAGACACTTGTGAAACCTTTGAATATTAAACTAAGTTACACTCAAAGTTAAGACCCTCTCAAATATTCTAGTAATGTGCGTAGATATATAGGTATATTCCTTTTATACAATACGTTAAGATAATGTAAGCAGAAGTCATGGTTATACAGTATACTCGACAGTTGACATACAATTACGGTGTTTGATTAGCTAGACTGTCAGATATGTATTTAATGTCAAGATGTCTGAAAAGGTAATTTAGTTGAATATACAGTAACAAAGGCTCCCTCGCATAGACCTATAGATAACTGTAACCGATTTAGTAAATGAAGTTTATTTGCTACGTTTTATTAACTATGTTTATAATGTTCGAATCACAAGAGAAATACATATCCAGTCGTCCATTTTATTTTTATAATAGAACCAGCGACTCACCTTCGCTCCGTTCGGGTTTGTCGCTAGATACGTTTTAACGATTAGTATTGATTTCCCAAAGATGAGATATTTTCTCGCAATAAAAAGTATCCTATATGTTGACCTGGATAACCATCTATCATTATACATTAAAATTTGTGTTGAAAAAACAGTGGGTTTCTCGTGATGCGTTACCAGACAGACAAAAAATATAAAAAAACTATAGATTCGACCTATGTATGTATCGATAATAATGACTATTTCAATAAGATTATCCAAAAAATATTTATTGTATACTTTAAATATTGGACTCAGAATTTTAATATATGTATAGATTTGATATTCATGTCAATAGTTCATTAGTTTTAATGTTACCGGTTTTTGATTAAAACATGAGCATATAATATAAAATACAGTATACTTTATTGTCTTTATTATTAGAGGGGTTTTTGTATTATTTTATTAGTCTCATGACAACAAAATTCTTTAATAAACTATACTCGTGACAAATGTTGACATCGAAATTTTAGTAACATATCTTAATTATCTATACTTCAATACTAATATTATAAAGAGGAAAAGTTTGTAAGTCTGTATGCCCCCTACATATCTCTGAAAATACTGATTCAATTCTGAAATGAAAATTCTTCTAAAGTTCACTAATTGGAAACTACATTACCGCCGAGAGCCGAAGGCTATTTTTTATTTCGAAATGTGCTTGCTGTCAGAAATCATAATAATTTTAATTGAAATCGGAAAAAACTGGCTTTAATGGTTTAAAATAAAGCAACAAAATGTATGGTTAAAGAACACCTAGGGAGGCGCACCCGCCATCCGAGCGAAATGAATACTGACTACTGAGTAAGTGGTTTTCTATAAATTATGGCAAAATATCTAATTCACCGTTAACCGTATTTTTTAAATACATCAATAAAACAAACTCACAACAAGTTCTTTTTCAGATTTACTTAGTTCCTGCCCCAGCTTGAGTTCGGCAGCTATCATCATGCTTTCGTTGACGGTGAGTCGTGGCTGTAGTAAATCATCTTGCATTATGTAGCTGCTTAGTTTTTTAAACACACGCATGTCTCGTGCATGACCATTCACTGTGATTCTTCCATTTACCCCGTTTGATCTGGTAAAAACAAAAATATACAAATTAGTTTCAATCTGACTTTTGCCAAATCCTATCAGCAGTACAGAAGATGTACTGCGCCGACCCCAAGCGATTGGGAAATGGGCAGGGAGAAGAAGAAGAAGAAGTTTCAATCTGGCGTATTTGTATGGAAGCGGCCGCGATGGTGTCACTGCACCATAGTATAATGGTTGAGCATCTACGACTGCAGTTCGGTTCGAGTCCGTGTCTGGCCGAGTTTTATTGTTATTTGTTTATGTAGTAACCGAACGAGTTAAGTCAGTGACATTTTAACATTAGGTACATTTAAATACAATAAATGTTTTAACATTATATTTAAAAACTTCATTAATAATCATCTACTATTTAACTGTGTTCAAGGTACTTGTAAAATCATTTTATAGGTGACTTTTCATGTTTAGGAAGTGTTGAAATTTACGTTGGATTCTTGAGTTTAGAATTTCACCATTGAAAGTAAATATGTAATCTATTCCTATCTGAAATCTATTCTGCCATCTCTGTAATTTAACTATATGCCAATAATCGATATTAAAATCAATATTGATTATTATCCATAACACAAGCCTCGTAGCTTACCATGGAACTAGATGGCGCTGTGTGTTAATGTCCCAACATATTTATTTATTGGGGATTAGCAGAAAACAAAAACAAATATATTCCACGGGAATCGTACATTTTTCCGGGATTAAAAGTGTGTGTTTGTGGTAATTCTGATGTATGAGCTATTTAAAATTATTGTAAAGTGTCATTAAAATTCATTCTGTAGTTTTTGCGTGGGAGAGTAACAAACAACCATATATTTTTACATTTAGACATCTGTACATCCTCACAAACATTTCGCATTTATAATATTAGTAGGATTAATAAGACAAAAGAAGATATAGGTACACCCGAAATGAGAGACACACTCTTTTTTGATGTCGGTTTATAAAAAGTACCTACCTAACCTATAATATTCTTGACACGTCTGTTACTTTTGTCAGAAGTAGTACCGCTAAAATTGGTTAAGCTATTTGGAGGGTTATTTCGAACTCTTAGAACACAATCGTTTAAAAAATGGTTGTTGTTGATATAACCATTACACTTACGTATATCCAGCCAGTATATTTAGTAGCGTAGATTTCCCAGCGCCTGATGGGCCGAGGATGCATGTTAGTTCTCCGGACCGGAACTCACCCGAAACATTGTGCAGAATCCGCCGCTCTCCTGTAGACAATAGGTACCAATAGTTATAATACGAATAATAGCTAACCATTTTAATCTATATAATTAAAAATGAATCACTGAAATGTATGTACGCGCATAAAACACTCCTTTAAAGTTTAATTTTGCGACAGAAAGAAGTTATATCTTTCTCGAAGATCCCATCTATTTGTACCAAAATTCATCAAATTTGGATCATGGATCGGGTAAGACATGAAAACGTAACAGACAGACAGAATTACTTTCGCATTTATAATATTACTTTGGATATTGGCGGAGGTTATAGTAATGTTTACTCATTAAGAGTTATTTTAACAACAGTGTATATTTTGATCTTTAAAAACAAATAATTGACTGTGAGATTTTGAAGTAATTTCTGTGAATTTTCGTTATGGAATTTGCTCACCGTCGAAAAAGTCCATATATTTATCTAGCATACAAGTTATTTGTGGTTAATTTTATTTCGATCATTTTGAGGATTACGCTCTAATAGACAGACAAATTTTCCCATTTATAATGTTTAAATTAAATATATTTTTAAAAGTAAGTATAAGCGAAATATATTTTAATTTATACATTTTTTTTAATCTAAACTCATTATTATTTATTATGCTTATGCAAAGTACGCAGAGTAAAAAATCCAATATATTTTTAAAGCAAAACTCCTTTACAGGAAAAAATTGATAGCTTAAACGTGGAATATGATTTTTCATTTTTACGTAAATTTAAGTTCGACGTTTAAAATACAAAAATTAATATAAGCATAAGTCAAGTGCGAGTTGGATTCGCCAACAAGGTTTCTGTAATTGAATTAAATAACAATATTAGGTAATTTACTTATCGGTATTATATAGGTCATAGGTCTTCGAATTAATTATTGAGAATGTTCTTCTCTGTATGGTAGCCCAGTGGTAATGCACTCGCTTGGGAAACCGAGTGAAGCGGGTTCAAATCCCGGGTTTCGGAACCTCTAATATTTTCATGTGCGAATCATTTCTAACATGATTACCACTTGCCTTCACGGTGAAGGAAAAGATTGTGAGGAAACCTGAGAGAACCCTTCCGAAAGATATGTGCAGTCCACTAACCCGCACTTGGCCAGCGTTGTGGACTATGGTCTGATCCTCCTCGTATTGAAGGGAGGCCCGTGCCCATTCATTTCCATCACTTCTCGTCACATGTCTTACATCCCTCCTCTTCATATCTCTATATAATTATTTATTTATGTTTTTTTTTATTGAGAATGAACATGAATAAATAATAAACTTTTTGAACCAGTTACAAATAGTTAAATAACCGCCGACAGTTTACTGGTTAGTGTTACGTACTTGACACAAACGTAACAGAGGCCCTATGCGGGCAAGGTATCCTAAAAATGTTCTAATAATTATAAAATACCAGCGGCTCACCCTCACTTCGCTCGGATTCGTTGCTGGGTACATTTTAAATAGATATAAATAGTTATTAGCCAGCGTTAGCCATATATATTTTTTATTGTTAATAATATTGTCAAATATTGACATTAATATTTATATGATACTAACGTCACTCAATTGTTTTGCCTTCCCGGAACCTCTCCACTAACACTTAAACTTTATGGTATTGTATTAAAGTTCAAATTGACTTTTAAGTATTATTACGAATCTTTTGTATGGGAGTATAGAAAAGTGTTGTTTTTAGACTTTTTCAGGCAATTTTTAAAATTTTTTTTATCCGTAAGAACCATCCTCGTACTTCAAGGAATACTTTAAAAAAAATTAGCAATACATTCAGCGATTCATTTTCAACCGACTTCAATTCGACTGTATTTTTTTTTATGTTTGTTACCTCAGAACTCCGTCATTTATTAACCGATTCAAACAACTTTTGTGTTGTTTGAAAATGTGTACTTCCAGATTGGTCCCATTTAAATTTCAAAAAAAAAAACCACCCCTAAGGGTGGAAAAATAGCTAATGATGAATTTAACCTACTTCTAATTGTCATAATGACTTGAAACTTTGCAAGTGTTTCTATTTCCGTTGATAGTACAGTGGTTCGGTATTGTTGATCTGATCTGATGGTAAGGCCAGAAGGTGGATAGGTGGAACTCTTCAACGGCTAATAGTAGATACTTTGAGTTTGGGCTTATTTTGTTTGATTTGACTAGCCTAACACGTTAGAATTCTTACTTTGCTACTACTGTCTACACTAAAAAGGGAAAAATAAAAACTTTTTAACAATAAAATAAAAACCGACTTCAAACAAAAGCACTAAAAAGTAAAAAATAACTGATTGGTAGTTTTCATTTACTATACATACCTAATCAAATATTTTCGAAGTCGGTGTGCTTTGGCTAAGTAATTAAAGCCTACCTATTAAATACATACCTAATCAAATATTTTCTAAATCGGTGCCAGCCCATACAAAGCAAAGCACACCGACTTCGAAAATATTTGATTAGGTATGTATAGTAAATGAAAAGTACCAATCAGTTATTTTTTACTTTTTAGTGCTTTTGTTTGAAGTCGGTTTTTATTTTTCTTTATAAATATATATATATATAGCAATAGATAGAGTGATTCAAGAGGAAGGTTATGAGTATAATACATGCATAATGTAGTAAATAAAAGTGAGTTGGTACAAAAATTTTATGAAACATTTATTTTTAACGCTATAAGAAAAACCTGCGTGATCTTTCTAGAGTCTCAGACTCTATATGCACGAGTATATATTATAAGTTAGAACAAACCCTGAGTCTGTTCAAACACATTCATTATTAAGAGCTTTATCTAAGTACAAAAATGTATTTTATAATTACTCATAATCAAGGTAATTACTGTGGTTCCAGCTTTAGTATCAGCAACATTAATTTAAACTAAATCATCAGACCGAAGCTAAAAGTAAAAAATATATGAAAAATTATCTTTATTACAATGAGTGTATAGTTTTACTGAGTTTCTTTTGCTAGTTTTTATCAGCAGAGGCACGGTAATGCAATATGTAATATTACCGTGACTGAGGCTATCAACGGGAAAATCCAAAAGGAAGAAGCGATATTTTTAATACCACATAGTTTTTCTTATTGCTGATAGGTAAGTTAAAGTAAAATTTCTGTAATATAGAAAAGTACTTCCACTATTACACATAATAATTAATTCATTAGAACACTATTAAAATTAGCATTGGTTTAAACAAGACGAATGAAAATATTCTCTTTTTGGTTTATATATAAGTATATTGATTGCAAGATTTGACGTATTTAGCTAAGCAAAAACATTTGGGCCATCGATCTAAACATGGGCATATTACAAATGCTGCTATTTTATATAGTAATAGTCAAGGTTATTTTAGATGGTACTTTATAGGGCTATTTTATGGACTAGTTCCCAAACTAGTTTTAGACGAAACATCCACTTTAAAATTATTAAGGATACTTCTGATTATCATAGTGTTAGTAATTATGTACTTAATTCTATCACATTCACATTATATTAATATGTTTACCCTATACAATGATAAGTTCTATATCAGTATGTTAATATCTGTCCTCGGCTGCGTTCGCGTTACAACTAATGAATATAAATCTATGCCTTTTCGTCTTTCCCGCGAGAACTACTTACTTTTATGGAAGTAAAGACGTTTAAAGTTATTCTCCATGTAATCTTCTATCTTTCAGTGATAAATGGCTTCAACAGTTTCGGATATTGATTAGGTACGTCAAAATTGTTTAGGTTTTGGAGTAGTAGAAATCTATACTTCCATACTAATATTATAAATGTGAAAGTGTGTATGTGTGTTTGTTTGTTTGTTCGTTTGTTTGTTTGTCCTTCTTTGACGTCGAAATGGAGTGACGGATTGGCATGATTTTTTGTTTGGAGATAGTTGAAGGGCTGGAGAGTAACAAAGGCTACTTTTTACTGCTGGAGTTTACCTAATTCTCTCGGGAAGACCCTTTATAATACAATCCCAAAAAATATTTATGATCAGAATTACTTGAAACTTGGTATTAATGCTCTTCAATAAAAGTACCTGGGCCACCGAGCTTCGCTCGGAGTTTTTGGTCAATAGTACAATTTTCTTTAAAAAAAAACTAAAAACTTGAATAAATACAAAAAAGAACAAAAATAAATTATACCTTTGTATCCGACCGCGATTCGGACCCGGACGGACACCTATGATTGTCAATCTTGCGCCTTGGCCGCTTGACCATGATGCTTATGCCCGAGCGTGCGAAATTATCGACCATATTTTACATAGAATAATGCGAAAGAAAACCGCATGAAAATTCGAAAACGCGTTTTCCCAGACATAAGACTAATCTAGATCGGATCTATCGCCCCCGAAACCCCCTGTGTACTAAATTGCATGAAAATCGTTGGAGCCGTTTCTGAGATTCAGATTATATATATATATATATATATATATATATATATATATATATATATATATATATATATATAAATACATACTCATAATTCATAAAACTAGTTGTAATGCTTGAATAAAGGTTTGGCAATAATCCTTCGTTTTTCGACATAATCGCTCTATTTTACATACAACATGCTTCTGCATGTTGCACGAAAATAGCTATACCTACATCCTTAACATTTTTAGGGTTCCGTACTCGAAGGGTGCCAACGAAACCCTATTACTGAGCCTGCGCTGTCCGTCCATCCGTCTATCAGAGGGCTGTATCTCATAAACCGTAATAGGTAGAGAGTTGAAATTTTCAGAGTATGTATTACTATTGCATTTTTAACTACAAATAATAAAAATAAATAAAAATACAAGAAACATTTTTTAACGTTCGTAATCGATCATTGAAGTTAATATACTAAGTACATACATAGAGTCAAAGTCATATTAATGATAAGAAGGTACATGCACGATGGTACGGAACCCTTCGTGTGCGAATTCAACTCGCACTTGACCGATTTTATTTATTATTAACTAGTTAGTCGCTCTCTTTTTACTTATGCGCTTCTTTATGTACTTATTTTTTCGACTTTAATATTATAACATTGAATGATATGGGTATAGAATTTTATATTAGACTAGCATTACGGTAATAT